CGGGGGCCGCGGGGCGACGAAATGGGGGGCCGCGGGGCGACGAATCAGGGGCCGCGGGGCGACGAAATGGGGGGCCGCGGGGCGACGAATCAGACGGGCGCAGGGCGCGACGGGACGAAGAAAATAGCGCATTTCGCGCTGTAGTACGGGCGGGCCCATGATTCTTAAAAAAAAGAGAAGGTTCCGGGAAAGAACCAGCTCTGTACCATGTCAGAATCCCAGCCACTAACCACTGGGATAAAAGGGCTTGTTTATATAGCGGGTGAGTGCGCCCATAACCCCCCAGGCCGACGTGCCTGTAACCCTTCCCTAGGATCATCGGGGATCTCCAGTGGACCTCTGACACCCCCCCGCACTGGGATGCCCGAAGTGCACACACCGGGAATCGAACCCGAGACCTTCGCTCTGATACCATGTCAGAATAGTAGCCTTAGGGTTTGGGGTAGCGTGAGCGAGAGAAACAGGAAGGTGAGGTTCACTACAGCAAGGTTACAAGATATAGCAAAGAAAGGTGAGCACATTGGTGCACCACCACTGTAGCTACACTAGAACACACAGCAAGCAGGGTATATAACAAAACTTAACAACTGAAGTCAAAATGTCAACGGATAAGGTTACAGATCCTTTATATAAGCACCTGCGAGTTCTTTTTAGCTAGCTGCGAATTGACTAAACTTTTGCGAACTGGTCGATACAGCTTATACGCCCCCTTCACAAGGCAACCGGGAGGGGCTCAATCAGGCATCAGGTGGGGAAACCGAGAAATGCGGGGGCTTGGTGGCTTTGGACCCTTTTTAATCATAACCAAACCAATATCTCAGTGTAGATATTACAAATGTCAGAGGTCCACTGGTGATCCCCGATTGATCCTAGGGAAGGGTTACAGGCACGGCGGCCTGGGGGGTTATGGGCGCACTCACCCGCTACATAAACAAGCCCTTTTATCCCAGTGGTTAGTGGCTGGGATTCTGACATGTTATCAGAGCGAAGGTCTCGGGTTCGAATCCCGGTGTGTGCACCTCGGGCATCCCAGTGCGGGGGGGTGTCAGAGGTCCACTGGTGATCCCCGATTGATCCTAGGGAAGGGTTACAGGCACGGCGGCCTGGGGGGTTATGGGCGCACTCACCCGCTACACAAACAAGCCCTTTTATCCCAGTGGTTAGTGGCTGGGATTCTGACAACAAATAGCATTGACACGCATGCTAGAAAAGAATAACTCAAAATTTGTGTTGCAGGTAGCCATTTTGCGGCTGTCAGGGTTGAGGGGGGAAAAAATGGGGGTAAATTTCAGTAAACTAATATTTTTTTTTCTAACGTCAGCTCTGCCCATGGGATGTGCAGGGCCCCTGAGGCCTCAAGATGTTATATTCTAAATCCTAGCAAAGGATTAGTATGGTTTCATTGTACATTCCCATTCTAGTCACCCTTTTCCTCCATTCTAACAAAAATTGCACGGTTTTTTGTAGGCTAGATTCGGTTGTGTAATAGAGGTTATGGACTGCTACTGTACATATCCAGTATGCCCTCATTCTTATCAGTCCTTCACTTGTTAAACATAAAAAGCACCAATAAATGTGCAACAGAACACGTTACTCTCTTCTTTCCGGCTATCGTTGCCTGGAAAAGAAGGCATGGTCGGGCAGGTTGGCATCGATCTGCCTGAGCCATTGCGTGGCTGCGACCTCCAGGCCCCGTACAGCACCCCGGTCCGACCACACTGTCCCCCACGTCTTGTACCCCGCAAAGCCAAACGGCACCAGGGGCGCCGTGAAAACCCCCCGTTGCCTCCCCTCGCTCGCACCGTCAGCTGATTCCGATGATGTGCGGCCGGGCAAGTGCTTGGCGGATTGGAAGACGGGCAAGGAGGGCGGCGCGATCCAGAATCTGGCTCTACAGAGGCTGCAGGAACCTGGGATGCAGAGAGTGTGTGTGTGTGTGTGTGTGTGTGTGTGAGAGAGAGAGAGAGAGAGAGAGAGAGAGAGAGAGAGAGAGAGAGAGAGAGAGAGAGAGAGAGAGAGAGAGAGAGAGAGAGAGAGAGCAGGTAGGTACAGGAATATGGAAGAAATAGAAGAGCTACTTTGACATGCAAGCATGTATGATGAGCATGAAAGAGAATGAGGGATGCAGCTTGGGAGGGAGCACAAGTAGGGAATCGGCACAAGACAGCATCCAAGATCTCTTTACAGCGTTGAAAAAGGGGCGCGGCAATGTCAGGGGCTGCTAATAGATTGGGCAAGGGGCTGATAGATCAGGCAAGGGGCTGATAGATCAGGCAAGGGGCTGATAGATCAGGCAAGGGGCTGATAGGGGCTGATAGGGGCTGATAGGGGTTGATAGATCAGGGGCTGATAGGGGCTGATAGGGGCTGATAGATCAGGGGCTGATAGGGGCTGATAGATCAGGGGCTGATAGGGGCTGATAGGGGCTGATAGGGGCTGATAGGGGCTGATAGATCAGGGGCTGATAGGGGCTGATAGTGGCTGATAGGGGCTGATAGGGGCTGATAGATCAGGGGCTGATAGGGGCTGATAGTGGCTGATAGGGGCTGATAGGGGCTGATAGGGGCTGATAGGGGCTGATAGGGGCTGATAGATCAGGGGCTGATAGGGGCTGATAGATCAGGGGCTGATAGGGGCTGAGAGGGGCTGATAGGGGCTGATAGGGGCTGATAGGGGCTGATAGGGGCTGATAGGGGCTGATAGGGGCTGATAAGGGCTGATAGGGGCTGATAGGGGCTGAGAGGGGCTGATAGGGGCTGATAGGGGCTGATAGGGGCTGATAGGGGCTGATTGGGGCTGATAGGGGCTGATAGGGGCTGAGAGGGGCTGAGAGGGGCTGAAAGGGGCTGATAGGGGCTGATAGGGGCTGATAGGGGCTGATAGGGGCTGATAGGGGCTGATAGGGGCTGATAGGGGCTGATAGGGGCTGATAGATCAGGGGCTGATAGATCAGGGGCTGATAGGGGCTGATAGGGGCTGATAGGGGCTGATAGGGGCTGATAGGGGCTTATAGGGGCTGATAGGGGCTGATAGGGGCTGATAGGGGCTGATAGGGGCTGATAGGGGCTGATAGGGGCTGAGAGGGGCTGATAGGGGCTGATAGGGGCTGATAGGGGCTGATAGGGGCTGATAGGGGCTGATAGGGGCTGATAGGGGCTGATATAGGCTGATTGGGGCTGATAGGGGCTGATAGGGGCTGATAGGGGCTGATAGGGGCTGATAGGAGCTGATAGGGGCTGATAGGGGCTGATAGGGGCTGATAGGGGCTGATAGGGGCTGATAGATCAGGGGCTGATAGGTCAGGGGCTGATAGGGGCTGATAGGGGCTGATAGATGAGGCAAGGGGCTGACCGGAGGAGGAGGAGGAGGGCAGAGGGGAGGAGAGGCTGTGGAAGGTGAGGAAGGAGGCGGCGAGGTCACGCGTGGTGGCGGCCGTGGGAATGCTGTACACGGGGTACCTGTGCACGCAGGGGGGATGGGCACGTGGGTGATGGGCATGCGGGTGGGTGATGGACACGTGGGTGATGGGCACGTGGGTGATGGGCATGTGGGTGGGTGATGGGCACGTGGGTGGGGGCAGGGGGATGAGACGGGGGGGGAGCACAAGGGACAGTGCCAAGGCTGAGGAAATGCTGTACCACGGGGTACCTGTGCTTGCAGGGGGGATGGGCACGTGGGTGGGGGCAGTGGGATGAGACGGGTGGGAGCAGGCACAGCACAGAACATGGGTGTGGGTGCGGGCACAGCACAGAACATGGGTGTGGGTGCGGGCGGCGAATGAGGGCGCTGTTGTGTTGGGGAGACAGAGAAATCAGGGAAGGGGCGGGTGCAGTGCAGAGACTGTGATAGGTGTGGTGAATGAAGTAGGGGAGGCGGCGGCACAATGTGGCACAAGGGACAGTGCCTGGCAGAGTGCAGTAAGGTGGGGTTGCTAGCCCCCTTTTTCCTCAGCAAGTGCAAGGGGGCGGGCAGGCACACACACCACGCGATGGCGATTCAACTGCACGGATGCAGCTGGCAGCTCGAGTGGGCCCCAGTTGGATGCCATGACTTGAAATGGCAGCAACTATGATGTTCAGGTAAAATATTAGGAAAGGTGCTCTGCTCACCAGGCGATGGCGATCCAGCTGCGCGGATGCAGCTGCAAGCTGGAAGTGCGTCTCAGCACCGCACACTCCCTCTCCAGCTCTGCCACCTGCCATGTGTGTGGGGGGAAATGCACAAGGAAGGAGGGAGGCCAGTGAGCAGCGGCACGCAGTGAGCAGCGGCGGCATGAAATCGAGTTTTGGGTCGTCTCAGCACCGCACACTCCCTCTCCAGCTCTGCCACCTGCCGCCATGGGCCATGCCATGAGTGGGGAGGGGAAAATACACAAGGAGGGAGGGCACACAGTGAGCAGAGCAGAGCAGAGCAGAGCAGAGCAGAGCAGAGCAGTGGCACAGAATCCAGTGGTGGTGCGGCTCAGCTCAGCACCGCACTCCCGCTCCAGCTCCACCACCTGCCATGTGTGTGTGGGGGAGGGGGGGGGGGGGAATTACCCAAGGAGGGCACACAGTGAGCAGCGGCACACAGTGAGCAGCGGCACACAGTGAGCAGCGGCACACAGTGAGCAGCGGCACAGAATCGAGTTTGGCTTCTCTCAAAGGCTCACTCTACGCTCCAGCCCTGCTGCCTGCCGCAGAGGGGCATGCAAGGCAAGGCAGTGGCGCACACAGGGAGGGGCGCGGGGCAGTGTGGCGGTGCATGTGTCAGTTAGGCACACACCTTGGTGTAGAGCGGCGGGCGGCAGTGAGGCGGTGCGCGCTCAAAGAACTCCAGCAGCGGCCGCCCGCCACTGCAGTCGCAGCACCACGCCTCCGCGCCGTCCTCGCACCGCCCGTTGCCGCCCTCCTCCACATACGCCTCCCAGGGGGACGGCGGCGGCGGCGAGTGGGGGGAGTGCGGGGAGTGGGGGGAGTGGGGGGAGTGGGGGGGGGAGTGCGGGGAGAGGGGGGACGACGCTAGGCTGGGTTGCTCCAGCGGGCTGCGCGCGTGCAGGCGCGGGCGGGGGGGGCCGCGGGCGCAGGGGCCCCCCTGGGCGCGGGGAGGCCCGCGGGGGGGCCCGCAGGGAGGCGGGAGAAGAGCTGCAGCCCGGAGATGGAGGGCGCGTAGTGCTGCGTGGCGGGCGCGCCCGTGGGGGGTAGGTGCAGCGGCACGGCGGCGCTGTACGCGCTGCACTCCTCCAACGCGTCCCACAGGTCGCTCAGCGCGAAGAACGGCGCGGGAGGCGCGCTGGGGGGCTGCTTGGCGCGCGCGCCGTGGCTGTGCTCGTCGCACCAGTCCTGCGGGGAAGGGGGGGAGGGGGGAGGGTGGGGAAGGAGGGAGGCGCGCGGAGTGCAGAGGCGGGGAGATGAGCGGGGGACAGAGGGAAGGTAGTATATGGGGAAGGGAGCAGGGGAGAGTTCCCTGGGGAAAGAAAGAAAGAGGGCGGTACCTGCGGGAGAGAAAAGGGGGGGGGGGGGAGGTACCTGTGGGAGGAAGCGCAGTTTGACGTGTGGGGTGACGTGCGCGAGGAAGCTCTCCAGATTGCCCGCCGCGGGCCTTGCGGCGGCCTCCGCTCCGCCTGCGCGCGCCGCCGCCGCAGCGGCGCGCTCGCCGCCCGTGACGGGCACGGCGGCGGACGAGCCGTGCGCGGGGTGCGGCCTCTGCGCCTCGTGGTATGCTCTCACGTGTTGCCGCGACATGACATGTGGACTTGGCTCGTGTTGGCGTGACATGGCGTGGGGGCGAGTGGTCTTAGCGTGTGCGCGCGCAGGTCGGTGGTGGGGGTGGGGGTGGGGGTGCATGAGCTCATGCGGCCATGCCATGCAGTGGCGGCGGCTGATGCGGGACGAGATGCGCGGTGTGGGAACGTTACGGAGAGCACACGCGGAAGCTAGGTTGACGAAGGGGTACGAGCGGGGGAGGGGAAGAAACGCGGCGAAGGGGATGAGTAATGGCGCACTTGCGAGCTCTCAGCTAAGCGTACCGGACGTACCGGAAGAAGACTAAGGGGACGGCAAGTAACGAAGTGGCTAGGGGAGCGCCTATGGCAACGGAATGGAGAAGAGAATGGTAGAATGTAACGATTCGCGTTTAGGTCAAAAGAAGGATCAAATTCACATTAACCACCGAACGAGTGGCGGCAAACTGTAACCCACATAAGGAAGAAGGCTGACGGAAAGAGCAGCAGCTATGAGCATCTCACCATAACGCGGGCTCGACGCTACAACATTGGGTCCTAGTTGTCTCTGGTCTGGTCTGGTCTGGTCTGTTCTGGTTGACAAGCGCTGAGTGGAGAGCCTAAGGCCGGGGCATAAGCGGATGTGGTGGGGAAGAGTAGGAAGTTCAGAATGCACTGTAGTTGGTGGGTTGGGGTGAATGGCGGATGGACGAAGTGGTTTGAAGGCGGAGGCCGCGTTCCGTTGGCGCACAAGCCATTGCCTCGCCACTGCCGCAGAACGCTCGAAGGCTCAAGGTTGACGGTATGGAAAACCGTCCGGCCGGCCTGTCGGGCTGTTCACCATCGTAGAAGGGGACGGTAACAAATGAACGAAGATTGCCGAAGATGACGAAGCAACTTGGCAACCACCACTCTTTTTGTTTTTTTCCACCTTGCCCTCGAACAATTTGTTTCTGCAAACCACCATGCCTGCGGGAGGTGTTACACACGATGCCCGTTTGACTAACCCAAGGTTGCCTTGTGAAGAGGGCTCTTAAGTGATTCTTGCATTTCGCTAAGCTTTCGTCAATTCGCACTTAGCAAAAAGGGCTTTTAAAAGATTTTGTAACTCGCTGTTGACCGTTTGACATGGGTCTCTTCTGTCAAACTTCGGTTTTTGTGGTTCGTATTGCTCGAGGTGCTTTCAAATGGGGTGCAACTGGCTGGTACCCTAATACACGGGTGCAGAGTTTCCATCGCGGGCAGGGCAAATTCGCGTGCAGGGGCTGGGCATCTTGTGTATTTCTGCTACTGTCCTGTATGGCCCAGTAGCAGATTCAAGCAGGTTCGGATACCGCGCACTTATCATATGCAACCCTCCAGCCACCCCTGGAACCAGACTTGTTCTGGATTTCTGTATCGGGTACGCGCAACCAAACTTCCTAGTCCCCAGCGTTTGCACTCGTAACACGTGCGACCACCCTCGCTTGAGAAACACGGTACCTGGAGTAAGTTCTCGCGACGGGAGGGCACGACGGGTTGAACAATTCTTCCGCAGAAGCGGTGGAACGTGTATAACTACGAGAACTGGGAGAAGGTACTTTCTGAACAGGCCTCTATATTTCATCACAACTAGTACGAGGGAAGTAGTAGAAGCAGTCTGGAACTTCGGTGTCGCCTACAACGCGTACAGTGCTTGCACTCTGCCCTAACACTTGCGGCCACCCCTGATTGACAAACGGGACAGTAGCTGGAGTAAGTGGTCGCGATGGGGGGGCACGGCGGGTTGAACATTCTTCCGCAGAAGCGGTGGAACGTCTATAACTACGAGAACCGGGAGAAGGTGCGCAAGGACGAGGCGGAGCAGGCTGCTCGCGAGCAGGCGTTGGCGGAAGAGCAGCGCCGCCGCGACAGCGAGTTGCGCCTCCAGACGCTCCGCGCGCGCGCGCGGCAGCAGCACCTTCCGCTTCCCCAGCAGCAGGCGGCGCAGGAGCGTCTGCTTCCCCCGCAGGACCAAGCGGCGCATTTTTCGGCGGAAGATGCGGTGGTCGTCGCAGATTCGTCCCGATTGGCCGAATCACTCGATATAAGCACACGCGACTCTGCTCCGCAAGCGGGCTCGCTTAAATCGGGTCACATAAACCTTTTCGAAGGCTTAGACTCAGCGGATTTCTCCGCGTTAGCGTGCGGTGCAGGCGCGCAGGCGAGCGACGCGGTGAAGCCCGGTCGCGCGCAGGAGGTGTGGGAGAAAGAGCACAAGGCGGGGGAGGAGGAGAAGCATAGATTAGGGTACGGAGCGGTGGGGAAGGGTGGGCAGCAGCCCTGGTATGCGCGAGCTGGTGACTTGACAGTGGGGGAGGAGGAAGGAGGGGCGGGGAAGATTAAGGGGGATGCAGGAGGCAGCGGAGTGGGGAAGAGAAGACTTGCTGAAGCAGCAGAGGTGAAAACGGACTCACGAAGAGTGGGTTTTCAGGCGCCTCAAAAGTCGGACTCAGAAAGAGTGAAGAGGGTTGGACCTGGAGAAGGTATGCTCATCTTGCCTGTAACACCCAGTTCCTTCAGTTTTGCTTTATTATTTTGTGAATAGGTTGTTACTTTTCCCCTTGTCGAGGTTCTTTTCAGAGCTTGTTTGGCTACTCTGACTCTGCCTGATTCTTTCCCTCCCCTGGATTTGCATGGCATTCGCCCAGCACCAATTCACCCTGCAAAAGACAAAGATAGAGACGACACTGGTGATGACGACGATGAGGACATGTCTAGTCCGAGGCACAAGAAGGAGCGGAAGCACAGAAGGCGGCGGTCTGCTTCGCCAGACTCTTCTTCCTCCACTTCACATGCATCCAGCGACGATGATGATGCTAACCACCACGGCCTCCGCCGCCGCCGTTCAAGGAAACCCCGTAAGAAGCAGCGCGTCAAAACGAAAATCTCCGCAGCTGATCGGTCTTCCTCTGAGAGTCCTTCGTCGTCCTCCTCGGACAGCGACAGTAGTCGTGGAGTGAGAAAGAAGACGCAGCGGAGCAGGCGACGGTTTGATTCACCAGACTCCTCTTCCGCCTCATCACTTGCAAGCAGCGACGATGATGATAACCGGCACCACCACCGCCGTTCCAGCAAGCATCGTAAGAAGCATCACGAGAAAAGGCGCTTTTTGTCCTCTGATCGCTCTCCTTGTGAGAGTCCATCTTCCTCCTCCTCGGACAGCGACAGTGATCGTCGAGTGGGGAGAGGGCAGGGGAGCAGGCGCAGGCACAGCGGCAGGAATAGATCCATGGAGAGGGGTGGGCAGCACCGACACCAGGAGCATATCGTGGGGAAGAGGCAGGGGAGGGAGACACACAGGGGGCTAGGAGCAAGAAGGGGGAGGAAGGCCAGTAACGAAAGGGGAACAGGGCGAAGGAAGCGGGAGGACGCAGCTGCAGAGGAAGGGATGAGGTGTGAACTGAAGGGTGCTGCTGCGGAGCGAGGGAAAAAGAGCATAGAGGCTTTGCGAGCGGAGAGGGTGGCAAGAGAGGCAAGGGAGAGGGAACGAGCACAGATGCTGTTGCTGCAGCACCACCAGGCAGCAGGGGGGAGAGGATTGGGAGGGTCTTTAGGTTCTGGAGCAGCAGGGGTAGGTAATACGTCTGGGGTGAGAGAGCTGGGAGGTGGGGTTGAAGGAAATGGGTTGTTTGGGGGAATTGTGATGCATGGGCCTGAAACAGGACAGCGAAGAAAGGAAGCACGGTACACTTCTGGTTTTGGATATGGTCGTTAAAATGTGTTTTGTTGGCTTTATTTGGTGCACTGTGCTGCTTAATTGATCAAATGGCTTTTGGGAGGACAGCCAAGTAGCAATGGTTAGTGAAGTAAATATTCAATGAATAACCAAACTATATGGCACTTGGGAACGCTGGTGCAACTGGCGTAGAAGTCCCTAGAGATGGGACAACGATCACCATGCTGATGGGACAACGATCCTTGAAGTTTCAGCCGCCACGTCGAACGTACGATTTGCCAGGCGCAGCATGGGGGGGGGGGGGGGGGGGGGGGATTTTGGCGGACACCTCGAGACTTGTCGTGCAGAGTGTCGGGAAACAAGGCGCAGAAAGCCCCTTTTGTCAAGTTAGATTGGGCATGTGGGTCTACGTTCGAAACCGTAGTATACCGTCTGTAAATGCAATAAAATGCACTGCAACACCCAAAACCTAGCCTCGGGTGCCTGGTAAAGAGGTTGGACGATACGTTCCCCAACCAAGGACCGAACTGCACTAGCTGCCGCGCACTGAGCGCTGGCCTGCATTCTGTTCCGTTCTGTCAATGGCGGTTTGTGAACGTCAGAGTCAGCCGGAGTCCGTCAGTGGGGTGGAGCTGAACAGCCACCTTTCTGCTGAGCTGAACCCACATCCCCTTTTCCCCTGACTGGTCGCAGATGTCCAGCGTTGATAAGTCGAGGCTCTACGACGGGCACGCGATATCCCCGTCACGAGTTGTCTCCCAAATTATCTGTCAGAAAGCCGTCATCTTCCATCCGCTACAGTTCAAACTGGCAGCAACAGCAACACGTACACTGTACAACCGCACCACACCACACCAGCAGCAGGAAGCAGCAGGCTCCGTTCGCCTCCCTCAACCTTCGCACGACCTCCCAACCACCAAAGCAGCCCCGAACCTAGGTTTCGGCTTGATATGTCTAAAGCGAAAGACCAAACGAGGCAGGCCGGGCCACCAAACAGGCCTGTTTGTGCCTCGAGCCGTACCATGATTATCGGCTAGGCAAGGCCAAACCGAGCCTAACAGGCAAACCAGGCCATCCAGGCTTGTGTTGCGTTGCATGCCATCCGCTCCCCCATTGGCCTCCACCCATATCTCCCCCCTGCCAGTTCCATTCCCCGCTTCCCTCGATCCCCTACCTCCTCACTCTCGCCGCCTCCAACCCCCGCTACTTCTATTTGAGGCCATTTCGTATCTTTGTTTCAGTAGTAGTTCTCTAGTTTTCTAGTTCCCGCAGCTCTCCTCTTCTATGCCCGATAGGCTAGGTTGATAGCACGCGGTAACCGCAGTCACGCTGAACGATCGTCCTCGCGGGGATCAGTGCTTTTTCAACTCGATCTAGCGAGACGCGTAGCTCGTCTGAACGACAACCTCAAGCAGAGAGAGACTAAACCTCTTTCGATCAACATGGCTCCTGCAGTCGCCGGCGGTGCCAGGGCGAAAAGACGGCAGGCCGCAGGAGCCGCACCGGTAGTAGCTTCAGAAGCAACGACGACGACTGGAGTGACGGTTTCGACAACACCGATGCCGTTGTCGCAATTGTCGGACAACGTCGCGATTGACATGCGCGACGGCCACACGGTGCGCTCTGCAGCCTCTAGCTTCCCGTGGCGTGTATCTCCATCGTCTACTAGGTGCCCTTGTCCCGTTTCGCTATCCTCGTCGTTGTACTGTTATAGGGTGCGTCACCTCTGTCAAGTCTCTTCTATGTCTCACCCTTCTCCGGAGGGAAGGTAGGTGATGGCCATGCCTTCTGTTAGTTTATGTGTCCGTTGTTGCAGACTGTCCCGAGTACATCTTATGTCTCCCCTCTCACTATGGTTTTGTTACTTCTTCCCGTTTTTTTAACTGAAGGACTGCCTTACGCCTTTAGGTTTCCACGACCGATCCTTTTTTTTTTTTTTTCTGAAGTTTTCTGCATGCTCCTTTCGGAACTTCAGATCTGACCTACTTGTCAGTTGCACAGGATAATCATCTTCGTTTTCCTGTCGTTTCTGCCTGATTATTTGTATGCTTCGCCGCAGACACAGCAGCCGTCGCTAGTGTCGGTGGATCTGAGCAAGCTGCACACGTCAGCACTGAAGAGATACCGTCGGCACTTCAAGCTGGTAGGGTTTGAAGCAGAAGAGGTTAAGAAGGGATCGAGGCGGCTGGAGATGACGTAGAAATTAATCGAAGTCGGTGTTTCTTCGCGTGTGATCTAACACGCCACGTTCGCGTCTTTCGGGAGGCCACTCCTCGTTGCGTGCTGCACTTTCAACGCCGTCAGTGTGCGTCGCGGGGTCGAGCTGTTTAAGCCCACCCTGGGCACGCCCTCTATTGTCCGTCGAAGCCTTTCCCACGTTGGTCATGTCGTTGGTTGTGCGGATTAGCTCGCCGTCATTCGGCGATGATTCAGTGGACTTTCTCCGTTTCGCATCGTCGTCGTCTCATTGCCTATGCTTTTATCCAAACCGCTGCCGCTGTGTTGCTGCAGGCGGAAGTTGGGCCCAACTCCTCCAAGGAGCAGCTTCTGTCGGCCGTCGGGCGGCACTTCATGTCGCAGGTGAGAAGTGAGCTGTAACGGACACGGTTGGTGTTGGTGGTAGATTGCGTCGGCAATCGTCAGTAGGTTCGGAATTGGTCGATAGGGTTGGCACTGCTTGACAGGTTCGGCAACTGTTTTTATTGTGAGCTTATGGATGGATAGGGAATAACTTGTATCAAAGCATGGGTGTACGGACTCGCGATGCCCATGCACACTCATTCCCTCCTGTATGACAATCCTTTTTGTCTTGTTTATTCAAACGCATCATTTCTGTTGATGCTCACGTTTGTCTATCTCTGTGGTTTGCCCTCCGTACCTTTCGTCCCGGTGTCCCTCTGCCAGCAATTGGACGAGCTTCAGGTTCTCACAGGCTTCTTGCAGGCAGCCAAGCGGCTGAAAGTGGCTCATTGATTGCCCCGTGGCTGGTGCTGGCCGGGTGGGAGTGAAGGCCTCGCCGGTGGCAGAGGAGGCCAGGCTTGCTTGCGCAGCACTTGCAGCACATAAGCAGTTAGGGTTTCTATCTCACCATGGACAATGGGTTGATGGAGCAGAGGAAGTGGCAGATAGGCCTGAAGCATTGCTTGAGAAGAGGTGCTTATGGTTTGCTAGGCGAGACAGGCAATTTTGCGGACAGCACAGGACATCAGCAAAGGCTGATGACCCGTTGCTCCCAGGTGTACACTCTGGGCCATGCATGTATGTGCAGGTGCATGTGTGTCCTGGGGTTTACACCCAACACACGAGTATGCACACCATCAGGACACTTGTGTATGTGTCCTGTGATATTCTCTCTATTGAGAGCCTTGGTTTATGCTCAAATGTCTCAGGCATCCTCTTGATGCTTTCGTTGGACCAAGTGCTGTTGCTTTAAATGTTGTGTTCTGTGGAGTACGGGATATGGAATATGGAGGAGAGAAGTTTTACGGTATTATACAATACCACCATGGCTAAATTACCATATTAGTAAATATAAGCCTAGTGTCTCTCTGACTCACATGCCCTACCTTTTCCCTACACCACATGCCCCACATTTACCACCTTTAGTCCATACACCACATACCCTGCGTTTGCCATAAACCATACAACCATATGCCATGCAGCACAGGTGTTGGTACTAACAACCACCACCACATCACGAGTCGATCACAATCCAAGGCCGCTCAAGCCCACGCAGAGTCTTCTCCTTGTACCCACATCCCCTCACACTCAGCCGCATCACCTGCTTCCCTTGCAGAATATCCCTCAACCAATCAGCCGGCATGTTGTTGAAGCCCAAATCCAGCACCTTAAGCTGAGGCACAAGGCAGAGGTACCGCAAAAACGACACGCCCACATGGCGGCACCGCTGCAGCGTCATGCGCTCCAGTTGCTTCAAGTGTTTCAGGTCCATGGTGTCGAGCTTAGGGTGATTGACGTTCCCGACAGGTCCAGGGACTCGAGCTTCGGCATGGCAGCTGCTATTTTCATCACCACGCTGTCAGTTGCGAACGTGCAGCCAGCAAGGCTGAGGTGGGTCAGCCACATTACACGAGTCAAGCGTTTGAACGCATCATCGTCAAGGAAAGCCCCCATGACGCGGAGAGTGGTGAGAAGGCTCAACTCGTCGAGTGTCATGTAGGCGTACTTGTAGCGCGGTGGTGCGTGCAGCTCCAGGTGATTTAGAATTCGCAGCGAGCTCAGCAAATGCCACACCCCACTGTCGTCTTCTTGGCTCGGCAATCCCTCGAAGTGTTTCAAGCGTGCATGTTCTTGAACTCTCTCCCAATAAACGCCCCCCTGCTTCTTCTGTGGCCTTGCAAACACTCGCGAGACCACCGGCAAGCTTCCCTTGGGATAGTCCATCCTCAAACCATGACGGTCCAGATCCGCTGGAGCCACGCAGAGCTGCCTCAGCCGTTTCAACCCGACCAGGCAAAGCCATCCCGTGAAAGTCACCCCCTCACAGCACGTGCAGGAGAAGACCTCAAGGCTCGTCAGCACGCCCACCTGCTCCAGTACTGCGTTAGTCACCCGGCTCAAGTGCAGCGCTTTCAGGTTCTTCAATTGCCAGGGCGCCGTTTTGAAGGCCAGCGTTGAGGGCCCGGGGCAGTCGAGCACGAGTTGGTGGAGGCGAGAGAAGGGCTGGATGAGGGACAGGGCGGCTGGAGCGATGGGGGTTTGAAGGAAGGAGAGGGAGGTGAGGGAGGGGAGGTGGACGAGGGAAAGAATGTCACGGGGAGAGACAGAGGAGCAGTGGTCGAGTGAGAGGGAGGCGAGGGAGGGGAGGAGGGTGGGGCGGTAGGTGGGAGCGAGTGAGAGAAAGTAGTGGAGGTTGCGGTTGGAGAGGGTAATCTCATGTAATTCAGGGGTGATTTGCGGTGCTGCGGCTGCGGGGTTGCCGTTGAGTTGCTGCGTTTCAGGAGCGATCCGCTGCACTGTACGGGTGCTCTGCTGTGTCTTGGGCAGCAGAGAAGAGAGAAAGCGGACCGTTTTGTTGATCATTCGAGTCTGATTCACCTGCTGGTCGGGTGGGATGAGCAGCAGCAAGGCGTCGATTTTCTCATGCAGCCGCGCCCTGAATGCCTCTTCACCATTGGTGGGTTCTCCCTCCACTAGTGCACTCTGCACCTGCCTAGCTGCTGCTGCAGCCTGCTCTACTGCTGCTGCTGCTCCGCACAGCCCCGCCTCTTGCGCCCATCGCTCCACAGACTCTACCAGGTCGTTCCCCACAGCCTCTCCTGCTCCACTCCGCTCCCCGCCTGCCCTTTCCACCACGCCTCCCCCTCCCCCCCGCATGATATCCCTGGCTTCGTCCCCCAACCCTGCCCCCTTGTCCTGCTCCCCTCCGTTTTGAGCCACGAGGGGCTGCTTGGGAAGGGTGGGGGAACAGAGGGATGGTGCAGGGTAGTGAAGGGAGAGGGAGCAGAGGGGTGGTTCAGAGCTGGAATCGAGAGGAGCAACAAGGTGAATGTAGCAAGACATGTACAAATGCTTATTTGCTGACATAAATGTATAAGTTTAAATATAAGTGTTTTGTATTCAGGCAAATTTGCAGCAAAGTCTGGAGAAGTTCAGGAAAGAGGAACAAGGAATGAAAAGAAAGGAATCAGAACGAGCGCGAGAGGCAACGTCAGTGCCACCGCTCACCGCAATGCCACCGCTCACCTCAATGCCACCGCTCACCTCAATGCCACCTCTCACCTCAATGCCACCTCTCACCTCAACCAGGTCATAATTATCCCCAACGCCCTCCTCCACAGCGCCCTCCTCTGCATCTTCATCCCCATTTTCACACTCCTCTGCCCCTCCCTCCCTCTCTGCCGTGTGCCCTTCTCTTCCCTCTTCTCCAGGTCCTGCTCCTGCTGCCCCTACTGGCTCCTCCCCTCGACCTTCTCCCAGCACGGCTTCTTCCAACTCCTCCCTTGCTTCTCCAGCAGATTCACGCTTCAAGTTTTCTCCATTCCCCTCCTCCATTGTCTCGTCTACCAGATCAGTCGTCTCCTTCCCCTCCTCGTCCCTCACTCCCCTCTCCTCGTCCCCCTCCCCCTCCTCCTCTTGCGCCTCCTTCTCCCCCTCAGCCCCCTCATCCTCCTTCTCCTCCTGAATCTGATCCTCCTTCTCTTCATTCCCCCCACTTTGCTTCTCCATGTTTTCTCCCCGCTCCTCTCCGCTCTTCATTTTTCCCCCCTGCGCCTTCCGCTCCTCAAGCCCACGCACAAACCTCCCCACTCCGCGCACCTTCTCGCGGATGGCCTCCGCATGGGCTGACAGCGCAGCCAGATGCTGCTACGGGGACGGAGAAGCAGGGGACAGGGAAACAGGGGGCAGGGAGACAGGGGGCAGGGAAGCAGGGGCAGGGAAGCAGGGGACGGGGGAAACAGGGGACAGGGAAGGTGGAGGGGGAGTGAGTGGTTGGAAAGTCTCCTTTGAAACCCTGTCTCGGATGGCTCCCGCGTCAGCTGACAGTGCGGCCAAATGCTGCTACCAGGAAGCAGGGAACAAAGGGGCTTCGCATGATGCGTCCACTTCCCCAGTCGTAACCTTGTCTCGCATGGCGCCTCAGATGCCTCTCAGACTGATCAGTCTGCATGGGCTCATGACAGGTCGACCAGATGCTGCTGCTGGGTGGGCTGCTGCTGCTGGGTCTCTCGGATGGCCTCAAGCGGCAGCTGACAACGCGGTGAGATGATGCTACGCGTAAGGGAAGTATGATGGGTAGAGACAGGGCTGGCTCTCCTTGTCCTACGCGTAGGGACAAGGGGCTAGGTCTTTGCGTGATGCGCCCATCTCCCCTGTCGAAACTTACTCTCCAACGGCCTCAGACGCCTCTCCAACGGCCTCAGACGCCTCTCAGACTGATCACCCGCATGATGGGCTCATGACAGGGCGACCAGATGCTACTGGAGGAATGGTGACGCTATTACGCTATGAAATTCCTCCATAAGGACGATAGGTTTGGGTCCACTACGCGCAACCAGATGCATGTAATCGTAACATGGCATGATACCTTGGCATAAATATTTGATTCAAGCAAACATTTTTTAATAGCAACTACTTTTTACAAAGTTGAATCAGTCGGCTGCCACGTAAAGGACATGGCTCCAGTCTGGAGCTCTATTTGACCTACGCGCAACCAGATGCATGTAATCATAACATGGCATGATGCCTTGGAGGCGTTAGTGGCAAGGTCGTACCTCCCGGACCACTCGCAGCACGCAGCACCAAATGACGTATCTATGGTCTGACAAGCGACGCTAGTGCGACCATGAATATGCGACACACAGGAGGACTCGAGCGACATTTCGAGAGACATCAGCGAGTCGCACTCACCATCACCATCGGTTCTGAGGTAGAGTCATCCGCCACACGAGCTCGCTTGCGCCCTGCATTAGTACCCAGAGATGACGGCGCCTCGCCGCTCTCCCATTCCGTTCGAATCGCTTCCGCCAGCGCGGCAATCGCCTCCACCTGCTTTTCGATCCACTCCTCCAAATCCGTCATCGCTTTCCCAACTTCGCTCGTTTCGTCGTCGCGGCTCCTCGCCCCCGTCACTATCACAGTAGTTGCGTTCACGTTCTCCAGTAAGCTCGTCTCCTCACCCTCATCCATGTTTTCGTCCTGTCCGTTCCGCCCGTGCGTGTCATGCGTCGCATTTATCGCTGTCGCATTTGTCGCATTTGTCGCATTTATCGCAGCAATCCCAACGCTCGCGTTCCGCGCATTCGTCCCATCTCTCCCACTCGCAGGAGCCGTCGATCTTCGCCGGCCGGTCACCGTGCGATGACTAGCGAGTCGCGATATCATAACGACAGCACAGCGCGGCTGAGTCACTGTGGACAGAAGACGAGAGAAGAACGGTCGAAATTCGCTAGCTATGCAGGCTGTGTAGAGAGGTCTCGAACAGGCAGTGTTTCTAGGCGATGAGAAACATAAGCTGCACGAAGATTAGCACTACATGATCGCGATGCTGCATACGAATAGGGAGTTCACGTAGGTGCTTGCAAGCAGAAATGGATAATGCGAATGAGCTGCTGCGGGTGCCTTTCTGGCTCCATGCTGTGTGGGAGAGTGGGGGAGGTGGTACCAAGTTCGTTAGGGCGTGTAAGACTTTCCTGTTCGGAATAACTGGTGTGTGTGAGCTGGTAACTGAAGCTTAAAAGAAGGCAGTACGATTACCAATTTTTGTGTTCCACTTTCTTCCCGTCCTGAGGCAATCTGTGCACGGTCTGCCATTTTTGTCATCCAGTCGCTTGGGCTCGATGAGGTTCGAGTCGGGAACTCATGACTCCCATGTGTCGTAGATGATGCATTTCAGGAAACCCTCCTGAGTGCGTCCTCAATACCTTTGTGTCGCGATGCAAGCTCTGTGTGAAATTTCAAATTTGGAAATTTCGATTCAAACCCGCTTCAATCAGATCTCTTGCGCTTTATAATAGCTTGTGATCTGTGTGAGTGTTTATAATTTCTGAACTTCACACGCCGCTTTCGATGACGCAACGCCATCGATACCCTGCATATTCGGGAAATGCACCTCTCATTACCCTTAGCGCGAACGCATCGCCTCCCTCCTCCTCGTCCTCGCAACGCGCTCCGTCGAGATAGCATTCCGCCAGGTTTCGCCATTCCGCCGCCCGTACTACCCCATCCGCCTCCCTTTCTCCGCCTTCGAGCGTCCTTCCACCTTCCTCATGTCCACCCACCCGCCACGTCTCCCTAGCGAAGTCACGCCACGCCACGCCACGTTCCCAGCCAGACGTTCAGGCTATCCCTCCCCGTCGTTAGCGAAGTCTACCTGTCGCGCTTTCCCCACGCGTCGCGCGTTCCCTTCCCCACCGCCCTCGCTTACACCCAACATCGCCGCCGTTTCCCCATCGCCGCCGTTTCCCCATCGCCCTCGCTTCCCGTCGCGTCGCCTTGCACGATGACGCCGCCTCCCCTCCCACTCGCTTCGCATCCCCTTTTTCCCTCCGATCGGCTGCCCCCTCGCCGTCGCTTTCCCCTTTTCCCAAGAGCCCTTCCCCTCCTATCGCATCCTAGTCGACTTCGCTACCCCGCGCCGCCGCCCACGCTTCCTCTCATATCGCCCGCCGGGTCGTCAGCATCCTTCCCCCCATCCACTGTTCCTCCCTTTGTCCCCCCCATTCCGCTGTTTTACCCTTCATCCCATCCTCCCATCCATTGTTCCCCGCACCGTCCCTGCCACTTCCCCTCCCATCGCCCTCCCCATCGCCATCGCTTCCCCGCCTATCGCGTCTCCCCTCTTGTCCCCATCACCGCCGTTGCCGCATTTGGGCGCCCTCACTCACCCCCACCCCCACCCCCACCCCCACCCCCACCCCCTCCCTCTCCCCCCCTCCCCCCTCTCTCCCTCTGTCCCGCTCCCTCTGTCCCGATTCTGACCCCTTGAGCAGGGGGAAAGGGAGTGAGCAGGGGGAAAGGGAGTGAGCAGGGGGAAAGGGAGTGAGCAGGGGGAAAGGGAGTGAGAGGCGGAATCTCTAGAATGGGAATGCAAGGCTCGTTGGAGATGTCTCTCGATAATCCTACCATCCACGTCACATCCCGTCACCCACGCTCCCCCTCGTAGACGTCGTCCTGCCCCGTTCCGCCACTTCTTTTACCCCTCCGAGCGCCCTCTTTCTCTCTTGTCTTCTCCCCACCACTCCCCGCTCTCCCCACCACTCCCCGCTCTCCCCACCACTCCCCGCTCTCCCCACCACTCCCCGCTCTCCCCACCACTCCCCGCTCTCCTCACAGGGTTGCCAACGGTTCGTCACTCGGTCGCCTTGGCTTCGTCCTTCTGCCGACATCTCGTTTGATTCATCGCCTTCCGCGTCCCCCACGCTTCCCCCCACCGTCGCCCACGCTTACTCCCGCTGTCGCCCACACTTCACCCCTGTCGCCCACGCTTTCCCCCACCGTCGCCCACGCTTAACTCGTGCTCGACTGCCCTGGGCCCTCAACCCTGGCGTTCAAAACAGGACCTTGGCCGTTGAAGAACCTGAGAGTGCTGCACATAAGCCGGGTGACCAACTCTGTTTTGGAGCGGGTGGGTGTGCTTACAAGCCTTGAGACCCTCTCCTGCACGTTCTGTGAGGGGGTGGATTATATGGGATGGCTTTGCTTGGTCGGGCTGAAACGGCTGAGGCGGCTACGTGTGGCACCAGCAGATTTGGACGGTCATGGTCTGAGGATGGACTATTCCAAGGGAAAACTGCCAGTTGTCTCGCGAGTATGCAAGGCCCCTGAAGAAGCAGGAGGGCGTTCACTGGGGAAGTCTTCAAGAGAGCTCACACTTGAAACACTTGGAGGGATTGCCGAGCCAAGACGACGATAGTGGGCTGTGGCATTTGCTGAGCTCGCTGCCAATTCTTAATCACATGGAGCTGCATACACCACCGCGCTACAAGTATGCCTTCATGTCGCTGGATGATCTATGCCTTCTCACCACTCTCCACATCACCGGGGCTTTCCTTGGCAATGTCGCTTTGAAATGGTTGACCCGCGTAACTCAGTTGACCCACCTCAGCCTGGCCGGCTGCACATTCCCAACTGAGACCGAGGTGATTAGTAGCAGGGATCCGCCCTTTAGTATGGTGACGAAAATAGCTGACTCCATGCTGAAGCTGGTGTCCCTGGACTTGTCGGGAACAGCAGTCACTGAAGAAGACGTCATCAAGCTGCAATCAAGCACTTGGAGCGCTTGACTCTGCAGCAGTGCTGCAACCTGGGCCAGTCGTTTGTGTGCTACCTCAGCTTCGTGCCTCGGCTCAAGGAGCTGGACCTGAGCTTCAACAACAAGCCGACAACGTGGTTGAGGCATATTGTGGAAGGGAAACGGGTGAGACGGCTGAGTGTGAGGGGGTGTGGATACTAAAGACCGTGCGTGGGCTTCAGCGGCCTTGGATTGTGATTGAGGCTTGATGTGACGGTTTTTTTTGGGTTAAAGCCCGAGGTCAGCATGCTAATAATTCAAGTTATGTGAGGTTGAATAGTGTTGGCGAAACCTTCAAAACAAAAATTTCGAGAATCTGTGCGGGGCGAAAGTATATTCATGAGGCGATGAAATATTGGGTGGTGCACGGCATGTAGTATGGTCATTGGTCAAGTTATCAAGTGACGGAATGCAAGGTCGTATGCGAGCTTCAACGGCCTTGGATTGATGTTGTGTATGGGATGGCTTGCATGAGATGTCTTGCACGGTATGTGGAGGAGCCTCATGCTACATCCATTGCGAATGATGCATTATGATGGAGCATGCGCAATAGAATGGTTTCTGCATGCCGGCTTGTTGTATGCAATGATGCATGTTGTAGACCCAAGAGGAATACGGAAAATGGTGATGTCATGGTATGTTAGGGTGGTACAATTACTATCGGCTGGCAGCTTGTGGAGATGTGGTCTTATTTATGCTGTGATGTATGCTCGAATCTGTCATGCACAGAAACGTTCTGATGCAAATAAGGGTTGGTAACGGAATGAGTAATTTTTTAGAATTTTGTTTACGAGGTCCATGATAAAAAAAAAAAATCAAATTAAATCTACCGTACAAAATTTCTCAGTACCAATGTATTATCTAGTCCATGATAACCAATCAGTTGCTTGGTGAGTTGTGTGCGTAAATTACAAAAAGAACTTCTTTCACCAGACCCAACGTTTTTAGTGGTCCACTGGCGCCATCTCGCGTATAGCTTCAATCCCCCCGAACTTTTCTTCGCACAGGACGTAACCGCATTTCGAAGGCTTCTTTCATTAGTTTCTAGGTTCCGCTTGCAGATTGATCGGGTTCGCTTCACAAGCAACCACTCATTCAAGCGCCACTTGGCCGTCGCGCTATCGGGGTTCACCGCGTAATCGCAATCGCAATCGGATCCGTATTGTTGATTCCTCCCTCATTGCTCCACCTGATTCGCCGCCTAGCACTCGGTTTCTTTCAGTGTTCGCAACATCAATCACTGGGCGGTGCCCGTTCTCATTGCCTCCTCATCGCCGTCCACATTTGCCCGCGTGTCGTACGCCCCTTGACGTGGGGCGCGAGCGTTAGGTCTCTTCGTTCTCGCGACGAAATTCAAGGACCGCGGTTTTCCAGACGTAGGGCGTAGATAAATCTCTAGCGAGACCGCGTTTTATCGCATGGAGGACGCAGAGGCGCGCCGATCTCGCCTGCGCGGCATGCGCGAGTCCGCGGCGCAGCAACAGGCGGCGTCCCCCGCGCCCGTGCCTTCCGCCGCGCTCTCCGCGCTCCCCTCCCCCGATTTCTCGACTGCCAGCGCTTATCCGCATGCATCCGCGCCGACGCCAACGGGGGAAGGCGGACATGGGGAAGATCGATCTGCTAGACGGCCGGCAGCAGGAGGCTCGGGGGGATTTTCGTTCTATACGGATCCTATGGCAGCCTATCAGCAGCAGCCACGTGTAGGGTCCGGATTGGGCCCGCCTGCCGCGCGCACTCCCTCCCCGCGCTTGCCTTCCGCGCATCTTCCCCCCTCCCCTGTTCCTTCCCCCGCTGGCTCCGCCGGTCACTTGCTGTACGCGAACCACCATTCCGTTCCGCCCAGCTACACCCCTCCCCCGGGCCAATCCCCTCTTCCCGCGCACACCCCCCTTCCGCCCGCCTACACCCCGCCCCCCAGCTACACCCCTCCGCCCAGTTATACCCCTCCCCCTGGCCACGCCCCTCCCCCACCTTCCGCGGGTCCCCCAAGCGGGGGACCCTTCAGCGCGCCCATCCTCCGCCATCCTCCCCCGGGTGGCGGAATGGGGGTGGCCTTCTCCCCCCTGCCCGCGCCCATGCGCCAGGCTACCCCTCCCTCCGCGCCCCTGTACCAGTCAACGCCTCCCCCGGGTATAACCCCCCCTGGCGCGCCTGGTGGTGCTGCGTGTGCTGCTTCCCCCATGCACCTCCCCCCTGCCTCGTGGGGGTGTCCGCCTGGCTCAGGCGATCAGAGTTACACTGGGTCGGGTTACCAGCAACAGGGTTACCAGCCACAGGGTTACCAGCAGCAGACGGGCAAGGGGTGGGATGGAGGGGGGAGAGGGGGATGGGGGCAAGGCAGAGGAGAGGGAGGGGGAGGGGGGAGAGACGGGGGCAGAGGGGGAGGAGTAGGGCAGTGGGGTGGGCGAGGGGGCATGGATGGCAGGAAAAGGCCTTGGGAGGGGCAAGGAGGGGGGAGAAGCAGTTACAATAGGGGAGGGGAGGGTGCGAGTCCAAGTGGGGGTGGTGGAGGGAGAGGGGGGTGGAATAGGGAAGAGAGGGGGAGTGGAGGGTGGGGTGGAAATAGAGGGACGGGAGGGAGGGGAGCAGGAAGAGGAGGGGGAGGAAGGGGAGGGAGAGGAGGGAGGGGAGGTAGAGGGGGTGTTTCGGCACGGGAGCAACCAGAAGCGTTTTTCTCGCCGAGGTTTCTAGAGGATCCATGGAAGCATCTAAATTGACCCCAAACCCTATGCGTTACTTCGCTCATTTCAGATATGGCTTGTGGTTTTAACAGACAAATCACAGTTGACTAGATTGCTAATTTGTTGCTCGAGACTGAGTGTTAAATATTGGGTGGGTGGCTAGGGTAACAGTTACTGGTGCAATCTTAGCTACAATCTGCAATGCCACATGAAGATCATGTTTAGAGTAGATCGTTTGGTTGTGTTACCAAACGATCGACTCCAATTACTGACGAGGACTGCGAGGCACCCTAAGTCGAGGCTTGCTGCAAGCGAACAGCCACCGTCAAATACGCGTTTCTCCTGATTGGGACGAATTTGGTAACTGACCTCTCTTATCTCGCAAATTGCAAATCTCAATCACTGAGTCACACGTTTGGTTTCGAATGGAGAGCCTAGCCTTTTACTCAACTTTTTGTGCGATATTGCATGCTTCACTTCCCTACCATTGTCGTCAGTTGCGAGCCGTAATGGCTCTCGCAGATCATTCCCTCGCGTCGCGTCGTGACCACGTCGCGAGATCTTTAAACGGCTTCTCTCTGCTGCGGGATGTCGAACCTTCCAGTCGCTCATTCCAAGATTCTCACAGTCGCGTTTCAAGCAGCCGCGGTAATTCCATTAGCGCCAGCGCGATAGTAAGCAAAGGCAGCGCGCTGTTTCGTGACGGTGGCTCGCTGCAATCGCACATTGCCGCAGCCCTTTCAAGCGGAATGCGCGCCGCTGCGCCGCTAGTAGCGGGAGGGTTGGCTCAGGCGCAATCCGCGCAGCAGCAAAACCGCCGCCTGGAGAAGGCGGAAGAGCGGAGAAAAGCGGAGATGGGAAATGGCGGAAAGAAAGAGGGGAAGAACGGCGGGTTGAAAGGAGGCAGTGGCGGCAGCAGAAAGGAAAATGCTCTCTCCTCTTCGAATTCAAATCAGCATTCCTTGCCCTCCTCCCCCTCCTCCCCCTCGTCGCCCTCTTCCTCTCCTTCTCTCGCCTCGCTCTCTCCTTCCTCCTGGATTCCTCTCCCCCTCTCCTCTCAAACCCCTTCCTCCTCTGCCACGTCACCATGCCAACTCCTCACTCAGTTCAGACTCCTCTCGGGCAGCAATAACTTTCACCATCCTTCCCGCACTGTTCATCCAAGTGACACTTTTCATCCGGGCGGCATCTGGGGGAGGCTCGCGCAGGGAGGCTGGTGGCCGGCAGGGGAGCAGGCAGAGGAGGTGGAGCTATCCGGAGTGCACAAGGTGGGTTCAGTGCGGTCCATTGCGGTTCGCCGCAGTACTCTCGTTCTGCCCTTCCTTCCCCCACCACAACTGGTCCGTAGACCACAACACAACCCACCTTGTGGCTTTGTGTGTTATTCATTCGTCCCCTTTTCCGCACATCAGTTCACAACCTTGCTCCTCTCTCCACTCTCCTCCCCTCCTCTCTCCATTCTCCCTCCCTCCTCCTTCATCAACTCTCCTCTCCTCTCTCCACTCTCCCCTCCTCCTCTCTCCACTCTCCCCGCCTCTCCCCACGCAGCTGGGACTGTGGACGACAGTAGAGCCGTGCATCCGAGCATCTCGGCAGCACCTGGGGGAGGTACATCTGAGGGTAGTGCGCCGCCTCGTGCTGCCCCTTCCAACACTCTCCTACCCTTCCACCACTCCCTCTCAACTACCCTCCTCCTCCTCCTCCTCCTCCTCCTCCTCTCGCCTCGCAGCGCCGTGCCAGCTGGCACTGACAGCTGTCTCCGACACGAGGAGCCGCGCCGTGGGAACAGCAGAGGTGCTGATAGGGTGGGTGCTGATGGGGTGTGGGTGCTGATAAGGTCTGTGCAGGGGGTGGTGGGGTGCACGAGGCGCACAGCATGTGTGAGTAAAGGCGCCCACAGGATGGGTGCTCTGAACACGGGTATGCTCCACCTCTTGTTCCCCTCAACACCCTCCGCTCTTACCCACCCGCTTGTTGCCCTCAGCCCCCTCTGATCTTACCCACCCACGATGCATGCCTGCCTTTTCTCATTCATCTTACATGTGCAATCATGAGTCCCCATCCTCCTTTCCGTCTCCTAGCCGCCCATCCATCGCCCATGCTTCCTATCTCCACCTCCCAATCTGCTCCTCCGCTTTATGGCAAGGGGTGTTTGGGTGCACCACGTGCACTGCTCTACTCTACCCTCTTATATGCCCCCATTGCCAATTTTCTGGACCCCATTCTCGAATTTGCTGCTCTTTGCTGTAATGCGTCCCTCTTTCTCCGGTCACACTATTCTTTCAATCAAAACGAGTGCCAGTGTCTTCCTCCAGATCAAAACGAGTGCCAATGTCTTCCTCCAGATCAAAACGAGTGCCAATGTCTTCCTCCAGATCAAAACGAGTGCCAATGGCTGCGTTCTGCGGCCGCATCTGCCCGAATCAATGTACATTGCAATGTTTTTACAACGTTCCAGGAGCCTCCTTTGATAACCAGCCAGCGGGTTATCAAGGCTCGCGATAAGCGCTCGGCTGCCGAGGCAAACCATCCCCGAATGCCTGCAGAACGGCCTCTTTTGCAACCACAAATTTCCATGTTAACGCTTTCCGAGAAGTTCATCGTCCTAGCAATCTCAATTTTCCTTGATGCGCGCATGATGCAACGCTGAGCAGACGCATGATGCGCGCATCAGCCTGAATGGGGCAACTGAACAACGCCCTTAAAAAAAAAAACAGCCGCGTCATTGATGGCCCACTGCTGCCCCTCGGCAGAACAACACAGCGCGTTCCCTGCTCGATGCCCAAGGGTTTCGACAAGCGCAAAGCCAAAGTCGGGCAGTCGGGCAGCAAAGTCGTGCTTCCCTGCTTCGACGAACCCTTCAACTAGCTGGAAATCCGCAGAGAATTGAGATCGAGATTGGGAATGTCGAAATTTGCAATTTCGAATTTCCGATTTCCCGAACCTGCGTGTCCATTTTCCGAACCTCCATTGTCCAATTTCAATTTGGACATCACCGAGCCTCAATTTGTCAATGTGCGGATCAGGCCGAGCCTAGGGCGCATCAGGCTCTGATGCGGCCGCAGAACGCAGCCAATGTCTTCCTCCAAATCAAAACGAGTGCCAATGTCTTCCTCCAAATCCCCCTTCCTTTTCATCTTCTGTCTTGTGCTGCCAATGGCACGGCCAAGTGATTTTCTCGCTCAATGCATTTTCTTTCTTGAATCTATTGACGCAGAGAGAAATAGATTCGATTCAGGTCTCCACAAGATCTTCTCTCCCCTCTTGAGCATTTTGCAGGACGGGTCACACCAGCACCACCCCCTCTTACAAATCTTACTAAACCTCAATGATTGCAGAAAGCGCTACTGTTACGTGTGCCCAATTGCCTTTACAGTGCCCTTCGATTTCCCTTTGATTCTGCTCATGATTCACCCCACCCAGTCTCCCAAATCTGTCTTCCCCTTTCAGTGATCGCCGGGAGGGCCACTCTGTGAGCGCTACTGTGACTTGTGACCTCTCGCACTCGATCTCTATCAATGCTGCCACATCCCACCGGTAATTTTCTACCACATTTGACATGAGCACGCACGCATGCACACACACGCATGCACACACAGGCATGCACACACACACACATGCACACACACGCATGCACACACAGGCATGCACACACACGCATGCGCGCTCTCTCTCACACACATGCACACGCGCTCTCTCTCACACACATGCACATGCGCTCTCTCTCACACACATGCACACGCGCTCTCTCTCACACACATGCACACGCGCTCTCTCTCACACACATGCACATGCGCTCTCTCTCAATGCTGCCACATGGCACCAGTACTTATAGATCACAAGGCCGTGACTTGTGCCTCATCTCACATGTGCACGCGCACACGGGCGCACACACACACGCGCGCGCGTGCGCACACACACTCACACAAGAAAAAGCATCCAAACTCCAGAGGCAAAGTGACAATCCTCATATCAGCTGTTCCACTCCCACACGTCTATCTCGCTGCATCTCATCCGTTCATTGCCAAATCTCTGAGCCCCCACCAGGCTTGCTGCTGCAGCATGGCTGTACACACGAGTCACAGCGCACGGCAAGCATTCCTCATTCCAATTCTGTACCTATCACACACGTTCTCCACGTCTCATCCGTCCATCGCCACATCTCTGTACCCTCCACCAGGCTTGCCTCTGCAGCATGGCTGTACACGCGAGTCACAGCGCACAGCAAGCAGCCCGACCGAACAAGGGTGCTGCTGCAGGTACTGCCGATGCCCCGTGCTCTGCATGTTCTGTGGGTGCACAAGGTAAGTTGCCGCTGGCGGTGAGGCTGCTGCTGCAGGTTTATCTAGTTGATGCGAGTACACCGGGTGGTGCAGGTAACCCACGCTTTCACGCTGGGTAATACAACAACCTCATTCCGTTACTTGTATAGTTGCATGCTTGTTTGCAATCTTCATTCAGATCACTTCTCATGCGTGTTCAATCTTTCAATGTGATTCTACTCCTCTCTCCATGCACTTGTACACATTCATCTCTACTCCATCCCCTCCCACCCTTCACCATCTCCCACCATTCCTTCATCCCCTCCCATCCTTCTTCCATACTCTCCCATCCTTCGTCACCTCATATCCCTCCTCATCTCCCATCCTTCCTCACATCCCACCCCCCACCACCCACCTACTCCAGTGCGTGCTTCGACCATCTCCCCACCACACCTTCTCGCCCCTCCTCGCCCTCTCACCTTCTCGCCCAGCTCAAGCTGTGGTCACATTGAAGACCCAGAGCCTGCCTGCTGCAGGTGAGGATGGAATGTGGGGTTTGAACACATTCTCCCTTGCCCTTCCCGCTCGTCCCTCCTCTCTCTCTCTTGTCCCGCTCAAGCTGTGGTCACGTGGAAGACTGAGAGCCTGCCTACCGCGGGTGAGGATAGGTTGTGAGGATAGAGAGTGGATGTTGAGCACAAAATTACTTCTCCCTTCCCTCTCGCCCTCTCGCCTGGCTCAAGCTGTGGTCACATTGAAGACTCTCGTTTGGCTCACATGGAGGTCTGAGAGGGCTCACAGTGATAGAGAGTGAGGATGGCTGCTGATAATAGAAGGTGAGGATGGGGGGTGACGATAGAGGATGACACACTCGCACCCTTGGCCTCCCCTCTTGCCCTCGCGGCTCAGGCCCTCTCGGCCTGTTGCAACCACGTGTAAATTCCTTCCATGTGACATCGCTTGTTGACTGTTGATGATTGCAAGATTCCCGTCTGAGTGCCATCCACCAGTCCTGTCTATACCACTGTTCCCATGAACATATCATGCCATTCCCTTCCCCAACCCCCACCCCCACACACCCCCTTTCAACCCTCTTCAATCACTCACGGTTGCAAGCATTTTTCCAGGTAAAAGAAAACTCGTTGTCACTCATTCCATCCTTAACCTACCTCTGCTCATGTTATTTTTTGTCTTCATAAGTTGATTGTCTCCTACTCAACTACATCCCATTCCCTCCACTACCAGCAGGCACCACTCCCCATTCGCTACAGCTGCGTCTCTTTCTGTCACAACACGGGGCCATGGCTGCCAGGCTCGATGCAGCCATGGGTGATGGATTTACAGATGGGGATGCAATAGAAGGGGCGATGATGGACTGTTAGCTCACAGAGACTTTTGAATCAACTCAAAAGTAGCTTCAAACTTAATGCAGTCGTGGGCGATGGATTTGGACAGAGAGATGCAATCTAAGGGGCGAGGGCGATGCTGAACGCTTGGCCTGGGCTTGGGCGAAGGCGCTATGCCATGCTTTCTGTCACAACACAGGACCACGGCTCTCAGGCAGGCTCAATGCTGCCGTGTGTCGTGGATTTGCAGATGGGGTTGCAAAAGAAGGAGCGATGCTGGTCGTTTGAGTTGAGGCTTGGGCGTTATGCTATGGTTTATAAGACAATGCACTGCAATCTGTGTTCTCACGTCACGTCACGTGGCCATAACTCTTATCTCACCTCTGCGTCATCACCCCTCCAAATCCGAGTATCATTTGAGTTAGCGAGGCATCACTAGACTAGAATCGACGTTACTGCAGATCCATTTCTGCTTAGTCACTATCCACTGAGAAGCAACACCATACCAACGAGCTGGCAGATGAACCAATGAGTTAAGTGATAAATGGCAGAATGATTATGCTGGGGTTTGCATCAATAAGCTGATAGGTAACAGATATTCCTAGCAGTTCTGTTACATACGGTAAGTGAGTAAATTATACCTAGTGCGCCATCTGTATAAATAAAGTTATCACCTTCAAAGGTCACGTTCCGTTACAGCAACCCTCTTCCCCCTTTCGTGGGTGAGCTGGGCCTCCTCGCACTCTCCCCCGTCACCCCCCCATACTCCACATCCCCCTTCCCCTCTTCCCCCATCCCCCCTCCCCCTCCCTCCTCTCCCTTCTGCACTGGCAGCAGGGGCAACCCCTCCTTCCCGCCCTTCCCCTCCTTCCCGCCCTTCTCGCCCTTCTCCTTCTCCACAGCCCAGCTATAGAGAACCATGCCTACAATGGCCATGAGCATGCCGCTGAAGTTCTTGAGGGTGAAGGGGTCCTTGAAGACGGTCCACCCCAGGATGAGCACCACCACGGTCTTCATGTGCCCCAGCACCTGGAAGGACGTTGCCGAGAACTTTCCGATGCACAGGTACACGGAGAGGTTGCAGCCGATGGCAAAGGCGCAGGAGAGGAAGATGAAGAGCTGGGAGTGGTGGGGAGGGGTGGGGAAGGGTGGAGGGCGGTAGAGAGGGACAAGAAGGGGAGTTCGGGAAAGGGAAGTGAAACATAAGAGAGGTCAATAGGGGGAGTGGGGAGGGTGGGGATGGATGAAGAGGGGTGGAGGGGGCGAATTGGTGGATTTGGGAAAGGAAAGTGGAACATATGAGAGGTCTATGGGGGTTGACGACAAAGACACAAGAGAGGGAGATGAAGAAGTGGAGATAGGAGGGGTGGGGAGTGGCGGGTCAGGGGAGGAGGGCGAAGGGAGAGCGATAGGAGCGCGGGCGAAGGGTTGGACATGGGGCTTGAGGAGGGAGGGCTGATTTTGGTAAAAGGGGAGCAGGAGGGTGTGGCAATGCGGGAGGCAGAGTAGCTGGGGGAGGAGGGCAAAGGGAGAACCGGAGGGGAGCGGGCAAAGATTTGGATGATGGGGTTTGAGGAAAGGGGGAACATGACCCAAGGAAAAGGACCGACCCTAGTCACAGGGGAGCACGTGGTAGAAGCGATGTTGATGCTCACCGCAGCGTTGCTGGTGACGGGGAATTCAAGAAGGTTCTGGGAAGTGAGGAGGTAGTCGAGGAAGGGCCCGATGAGCACGAGAGTGACTGCCTGGATGGGCGCTGTCTGCCTGAGCAGGTCAAACGACCCCACGTTGTGCTTCCTCTGCAGCTCGCCCACGAACTGAAGGAGACATGGACCACGGGGGAGGGGGGAGGGTGGGTGGGTGTTGGAAGTGAAATGGATGAAACAAGGAAGGAAAGAGAAAAGGATGAAACAAGGAAGGAAAGAGAAAAGGATGAAACACGCCCACCCCCAGCCACCCTTATCTCCACACCTCCCATACCCCATACGTGCCACACCCCGACATTATCGCAATCACCATTTGCTGCAAGGACATGGAAACCACCGAAACGGTTGCAGTAACAAGCCCGAAGGCGTTTACGGAGATGTCAGTGATGGTGCACACACCCACGCCCAGCATGACTGCCAGCCCCACCCCCCCCGCCGACAGGGCGCCTGCACTGCTTTGTGAAGAACACTCACAATCTGCTGCAGAGACGTGGAAACCACCGCCACGGTGGCAGTGACGAGCCCAAAGGCGTTGACAGAAATGTCAGTGACGGTGCACACGCCCACGCCCAGCATGACCGCCACCACCGACAGCTTGACCTCCCGCGAGTAGGACTTGGCGTGCAGCAGCGTCTCACACAGACAGGTCACTGGGATGATGGCCAGTTTAGATATCTGAGCGGATTGCATGGGGGAGATAGGAGGGACAGGAGCAGGGGGGGGGGGAGGAGGGGACGGATGGGACTCAGACCCATTTGCCCAGCACCACCGTCACCATCACTGCCAGCACCACCCCCAGCATGACTGCGGGCACGGCCAGCTTGACCTCCCGCGAGTTGGCCTTGGCGTGCAGCAGCGTCTCACACAGACAGGTCACTGGGATGATGGCGAGCTTTGATATCTGATGGGGGGATGGGGACGGATAGGGGAGGGGAAGGGAAAGGGGATGGGGGATGGGGGATGAGGAGGGGATTACGAGGCGGTGTGGAGAGTGTGAGAGCTTGACCTTCTTTGACTAGGCATTCGCGTGCAGCAGCGTCCCACACAGACAGGTCACCGGGATGATGGCGGGCTACGATATCTGTCATCACCCCATGATGGGGGGATGGGGTGGGGGGGATGTGAGGGGAAGGGAGAGAGCGAGGGCAGGGGGAATGGACAGATGGGACTTCCCTCTCTCAAAGAACAACGGAGGGGAAGGGGACGCGGGTGGGGAGGGGGTTTAAGGGGGCACGGGCGGGGAGGGGTTGTAAGGGGACGTGGGTGGGGAGGTGGTTACAGGGACGCGGGTGGGGAGGGGGTTAAAGGGATGCAGGTGGGGAGGGTTTGACTGCTGGAACTTCCTGAAATGTGAGTTTGCAGGTAGAGAATCCCATACACCAATGCATGTTCAAAGCCTAAAACATCCAGGCAAGTAACTAGAAAGATGTCAATTTTTTATTTCTACAGAGGCGAGAAGAGGGAGGAGGGAGGACGGAAGAGAAAAGCAACCTGGTGAGGGAGGGGGTTGGAGGGCACATTTACTCTTCTCTTTATGCTCTTTATGATTTTGTGTTAGATGTGCTCTTGATTTCGCTCTCTTCCCCCCCCATCCTCTCTCACCCTCTCTCCCTTTTTCTCCACTGCTCACCTGGTAGAAGCCCACGGAGTTGGACATGAGGGAGAGGTTCATGCCCACGATGGAGAGGTTGGCGAGCAGAGGAGGGGGGGATGACGTGCCGAAGCTCACCCTAGTCAAACCCCACTACTCTCTCCCGGTTTACCCTCGTATTCCCCTGCTCACCTGGTAAAATCCCACGGAGTTGGACATGAGGGAGAGGTTCATGCCCACGATGGAGAGGTTGGCGAGCAGAGGAGGGGGGATGACGTGCCGAAGCTCACCCTAGTCAAACCCCACTACTCTCTCCCGGTTTACCCTCGTATTCCCCTGCTCACCTGGTAAAATCCCACGGAGTTGGACATGAGGGAGAGGTTCATGCCGACAATGGAGAGGTTGGCGAGCAGAGGAGGGGGGATGACGTGCCAAAGCTCACCCTAGTCAAACCCCACTACTCTCTCCCGGTTTACCCTCGTATTCCCCTGCTCACCTGGTAAAATCCCACGGAGTTGGACATGAGGGAGAGGTTCATGCCCACGATGGAGAGGTTGGCGAGCAGAGGAGGGGGGATGACGTGCCAAAGCTCACCCTAGTCAAACCCCACTACTCTCTCCCGGTTTACCCTCGTATTCCCCTGCTCACCTGGTAAAATCCCACGGAGTTGGACATGAGGGAGAGGTTCATGCCGACAATGGAGAGGTTGGCGAGCAGAGGAGGGGGGATGACGTGCCGAAGCTCACCCTAGTCAAACCCCACTACTCTCTCCCGGTTTACCCTCGTATTCCCCTGCTCACCTGGTAAAATCCCACGGAGTTGGACATGAGGGAGAGGTTCATGCCCACGATGGAGAGGTTGGCGAGCAGAGGAGGGGGGATGACGTGCCAAAGCTCACCCTAGTCAAACCCCACTACTCTCTCCCGGTTTACCCTCGTATTCCCCTGCTCACCTGGTAAAATCCCACGGAGTTGGACATGAGGGAGAGGTTCATGCCGACAATGGAGAGGTTGGCGAGCAGAGGAGGGGGGATGACGTGCCGAAGCTCACCCTAGTCAAACCCCACTACTCTCTCCCGGTTTACCCTCGTATTCCCCTGCTCACCTGGTAAAATCCCACGGAGTTGGACATGAGGGAGAGGTTCATGCCCACGATGGAGAGGTTGGCGAGCAGAGGAGGGGGGGATGACGTGCCGAAGCTCACCCTAGTCAAACCCCACTACTCTCTCCCGGTTTACCCTCGTATTCCCCTGCTCACCTGGTAAAATCCCACGGAGTTGGACATGAGGGAGAGGTTCATGCCCACGATGGAGAGGTTGGCGAGCAGAGGAGGGGGGATGACGTGCCGAAGCTCACCCTAGTCAAACCCCACTACTCTCTCCCGGTTTACCCTCGTATTCCCCTGCTCACCTGGTAAAATCCCACGGAGTTGGACATGAGGGAGAGGTTCATGCCGACAATGGAGAGGTTGGCGAGCAGAGGAGGGGGGATGACGTGCCGAAGCTCACCCTAGTCAAACCCCACTACTCTCTCCCGGTTTACCCTCGTATTCCCCTGCTCACCTGGTAAAATCCCACGGAGTTGGACATGAGGGAGAGGTTCATGCCCACGATGGAGAGGTTGGCGAGCAGAGGAGGGGGGATGACGTGCCAAAGCTCACCCTAGTCAAACCCCACTACTCTCTCCCGGTTTACCCTCGTATTCCCCTGCTCACCTGGTAAAATCCCACGGAGTTGGACATGAGGGAGAGGTTCATGCCGACAATGGAGAGGTTGGCGAGCAGAGGAGGGGGGATGACGTGCCGAAGCTCACCCTAGTCAAACCCCACTACTCTCTCCCGGTTTACCCTCGTATTCCCCTGCTCACCTGGTAAAATCCCACGGAGTTGGACATGAGGGAGAGGTTCATGCCCACGATGGAGAGGTTGGCGAGCAGAGGAGGGGGGGATGACGTGCCGAAGCTCACCCTAGTCAAACCCCACTACTCTCTCCCGGTTTACCCTCGTATTCCCCTGCTCACCTGGTAAAATCCCACGGAGTTGGACATGAGGGAGAGGTTCATGCCCACGATGGAGAGGTTGGCGAGCAGAGGAGGGGGGATGACGTGCCGAAGCTCACCCTAGTCAAACCCCACTACTCTCTCCCGGTTTACCCTCGTATTCCCCTGCTCACCTGGTAAAATCCCACGGAGTTGGACATGAGGGAGAGGTTCATGCCGACAATGGAGAGGTTGGCGAGCAGAGGAGGGGGGATGACGTGCCGAAGCTCACCCTAGTCAAACCCCACTACTCTCTCCCGGTTTACCCTCGTATTCCCCTGCTCACCTGGTAAAATCCCACGGAGTTGGACATGAGGGAGAGGTTCATGCCCACGATGGAGAGGTTGGCGAGCAGAGGAGGGGGGATGACGTGCCAAAGCTCACCCTAGTCAAACCCCACTACTCTCTCCCGGTTTACCCTCGTATTCCCCTGCTCACCTGGTAAAATCCCACGGAGTTGGACATGAGGGAGAGGTTCATGCCGACAATGGAGAGGTTGGCGAGCAGAGGAGGGGGGATGACGTGCCGAAGCTCACCCTAGTCAAACCCCACTACTCTCTCCCGGTTTACCCTCGTATTCCCCTGCTCACCTGGTAAAATCCCACGGAGTTGGACATGAGGGAGAGGTTCATGCCCACGATGGAGAGGTTGGCGAGCAGAGGAGGGGGGATGACGTGCCAAAGCTCACCCTAGTCAAACCCCACTACTCTCTCCCGGTTTACCCTCGTATTCCCCTGCTCACCTGGTAAAATCCCACGGAGTTGGACATGAGGGAGAGGTTCATGCCGACAATGGAGAGGTTGGCGAGCATGCCGAACCACACAATGTCCCACAGAGGGATGTTGGCCGTCCCCGACAGGTACCCCAGCCACACGCACAGGGCACCAAACAGGCCAGTGAACGTGAGGTGGAAACCCGTTAGGGTGGTGGCTGAAGGAGGGGATGGGAGAGGGGAGGAGAGGCGGGAAGGAGGAAAGAGGCGAGTTGATGTGTGTGTGTCCCACAGAGGGATGTTGGCCTGCCCCGACAGGTACCCCAGCCACACGCACAGCGCCCCGAAAAGGCCGGTGAAAGTCAGGTGGAAACCGGTCAGTGTGGTGGCTGGTTGGGTGGGAGTCGTGATGGAGGTGGGGGGAGGGGATGGGGGAGAGAAGGGAATGACAAGAAGCAACTATATGTGCGTGTCACAGAGGGATGTTCGCCTGCCCCAGCCACACGCACAGCGCCCCTAACAGCCCTGTGAACGTGAGGTGGGAACCTGTAAGGGTGGCGGCTGGTGGGGGGGAGAGGTGGAGAGGAGACGGCAATGAGGGAAAGAGGGAACGCAGGCCTCATTCTGAGATGTTGGCCTGCCCTGATGGTTACTCCAGTCACCCGCACGTGGGGTGGAATCCCGTTAGTGTGGTGGTTGGTCGGGGGTGGTGGTGGTGAGGGAGGAAAGGGGGGGAGGGAAACGGGAACGATGGGAAGGGGAACCGTGGAGAGGAGGGAACGCGGGTCATTGCGTGTCGCACAGGGGGATGTTAGTAAACTGGGTGTGAGGAGGTGAGAATGAGGAAGTGGATATGAGGAGGGAAATGTGAGGAGGGAAATGTGAGGAGGGGAATGTGAGGAGGGAAATGTGAGAAGGGAAATGTGAGCAAGGCTTTTTCTCTCTCTCTCTCTCGATCGCAGCTCGGGATAGGCTGCGAGGGAGACGCGCTTGAGGCCGCCCAGTTTGTACACTCGCGGCTTTGCGAAGCACTCCTCTCTGCTTTCGCTTCGACGGCTGTCGGGTACGTTGAGGACACATTTCGCATTGTGATTGACCGCGCGAATGCGACCGGATCGACTCGCGTTTGACGAAGAACGCGCGTAGAGGAACCGCGAAACATGGATTGCATGGCGAGCGGATTGGTGAAAGCTGGCACCCTTTTCATCTTGTTAAACCGCGAGCTTCGTCGCACACACTACGGAATCTTACGGAATCTGTAAACGAGCAATGCTGTGTACAAATCAAATTCCGTAGTGTGTGCGACGAAGGCGTCGGCTGTCGGGGAACAAATGCTTTATGCTTCATCCCCCTTTTTTTCCAATCTGTAGGCGTTGTTGGTATCTTGTGCGAATTTAAGACGTACCGAGGGAAAATCAGCATAACGTAGGTATGAACGACGACCGGAACAAGAATGCGCGACGAGAGAGGCGTCGAAGGCGGATGACGACGCATTGACGACGAATGGCGATGCATTGACGACGAATGAGCAACGCGATATAGGCGTTTGAACGACACACCGAAGGCGAATGAGCAACGTATTAAAGTCCATTGAGCGACGCGTTGAAGAGGAAGCGGTTGGAGGACATACGACGTTGCTGATCATGATGAGCCGCACGCCGAGACACCGCCGTGACGCGCCTTCGGTCGTCTGGCGTAGTAAATGCACATCCTTCATCGAATTAAGGCGTACTATAGTCAGAACGCACCGAAGACGAAGCGGTAGGAGGACGTGACGACCTTGTTGATCATGATGAGCCACACGCAGAAGACACCGCATTTACAGCAGAAGCCGTGGTAAATGCACCTTATAGAGCGATTCAGGAAGTACTGCAGTAAAGAACGCACCGAAGACGAAGCGGTAGGAGGACATGACGACCTTGTTGATCATGATGAGTCCCACGGAGCTCACGATGTTCATCGCCCATGCCCCCGCCGGCGATATCGCCTGCGGATTGTTGAACATCGCGAATGGCTGCCCGCGATTGGCTGACGGCGAATAGCTGACGGCGAATAGCTGACTGCGAACAGCTGATGGCGAATAGCTGACGGCGAATAGCTGACGGCGAATAGCTGACGGCGAATAACTGACGGCGAATAACTGACTGGGTATAGCTGACGGCGAATAGCTGACGGCGAATAGCTGACGGCGAATAGCTGACTGCGAATAGCTGACTGCGAGTTGCTCAATGCGAGTGGTTGCGAGTGCTCAGTTGGCGAATAATCGGCTGCGAGGCGGTTGACAGCGAATTTCCGATTCTCGGCAAGCCGCGAAGGCGTCGTATTCGCAGTAGGATGCGACTGAAAAAAACTTGAGATTTAACTACACGAGTCGTTCTAGTCTCAGCTGTCAGCACGACGTTCATCAGAGACACGACAGATACTACTAGGCAGCAACGATTAAATCCATATAAGATGCCCTGCTGCCTCTCAGCAGCACACCACAGCAATTGATCCAAATCTGAAGTCTCCGCTCTGCAGCCCTCTCGTACCTGCCTCGCAGCAGTAATGGCGATGGCAGCAATGTTTGGTGGGTACGTGAGACTTGCGTGGAGGCCAACAGGCCATTCAGAAATACACTCGTGAGTGTGGGAGAGCCAAGTGGTGTGGTGTGGAGTACCCAAGACATGAATTACCGAACCGAAGTCAACGGGCAATTTCTAGGTTCGGACGCAAACCAGTTGGAGGCCCGGATGAATTGCGAGACCAACGAATTGGCGAAATCTGGGTGCGAGAGACTTGTCGACAATCACACACAAACCAACCAAAACTTCGTGTGTGGTTCGGAGGTAATCTCAGGTCCGGGTGGGACTTGCATGTTCCTGTTGGATTTTGCGGAGCCTCGCAAGCCTGAGCTCAGCTTTGGAGCGGTTCGCACAGCCTCGTTGTTCGGTGTGGGTGCAGCTAGGGGCTCCCACGTGTATGTGCTTGTTGAGGGTGGTTGGTCAGACCTGTGAAACTGACACAAGTCGCGTAGGGAACTCTCATGTCAATTTCCCACACGCCACAGCAACCATCAAGCTGCGTGCGAAGAAAAATACTCAGCCCCTCTTTAAGACATTATTATATCAAATTATGTGTAAGGATTCTGAGCTTCCTTACAATAACCAATTGCCCAAACCAAATGGTGAATTCAGGCCATCTCACATGGTGTGTGTCACAAGATATATGCCACATGGTGTATATCACTTTTTTTGTCATAAGGTGCATGTCACATGGTGTTTGTCACATGGTGTATGTCATGTGGACCATGCACCATGGTGTATAGCTGATTATACCGATATAGTAGAAAGCCACAACATCCATGAGCATTTGAGAGGCAGCAAAAGCTAGCAAATGAATTGGGGAGTGTATGGTCACATTCAGCCCACCATCCTCCATGCTTGATACCAGTACGCCTAATTTTTTTCCTCATGAATTCTTGAAACCACAGCCCACTTGCAAACTATACATGGCATACCGTCATACCCCGGATATACCCCCAGGCCTATGTTACACCCATGCGGTTATAATCGTACCAGTGGGCTTATAGCCGGGTGCCGATTATAACCCCACCCTAAATTTGGATCATCTTCGTATAACCGCACCTTATGAAAATTTACTCAAATCTGTGTTTTTCTAGTGAATTCTGTCAAAAAGAACTAGGCAAGAATGATTGAAAGGAGAGGGGTTTCACTAGCAGCAGTTGGGGTACATATAGCAAACCCTAACTGGGTTGTACTCGCTATAGAGCACCCCACTACAGGCTAGACAATAATAACATTCTGACACACCCCCATAGCCAAAGTGGGGTGTAATCAGTACAATGAGCAGGCATAGCAATAGTTCACAATTATAAGCAAAGCTAGAGGTGATCATAGAGGGCAAGTGAGGAGGAGGAGAAACTGTGAGGGCGAGAAGATGAAAGGCGCCGACTGAAGCTGCAGACACACGGGCAACAGGAGCGGCGCGCACAGTGGCTACCGAGCGCACGAGGGCACCGGACTACGGGAGTATCTGGCTCCGCGGCTACGACGAGCACACACAGGAGCAACGGACCCACAGGCGACTGGCGAAGCAGGCTCGCTGGGCTACCGAAACGCGCGAGGGCATCCGGACTACTGGCGCTGCTGGCGTCACGACGGCTACCTCCACGCAACCTCCTCCGACCGTCCCACGCCCCTCTCACACACCCCCTGCTGACACCCTAGCTCCACTTCCACGGCACCCCCCTTAAACCCTAAACCCTCGGCTCTGTTAGAATAGTAGCCTTAGGGTTTGAGGTAGCGTGAGCGAGAGAAGCAGGAAGGGGGGGTTCACTACAGCAAGGTTACAAGATATAGCAAAAGAAAGGTGAACACATTGGTGCACCACCACTGTAGCTACACTAGAACACACAGCAAGCAGGGTATATAACAAAACTTAACACACCCCCTTAACCTGCTTGCCGTGATAACTAGTACAGGTACACGTGGCGCAGCGGAAGAGGGTAGAGAGGTTAGGAAGGAGGAGGAGGTGAGAGGAGAGGAGAGGAGAGGAGAGGAGGGAAGAGAGAGAGGGATGAGGAGAGGTGGGGGGCCAAGAGCGGCGGACCCGCTTACGAACCTCCGTTTACAAAGGGGGTTGGGGAGGAGTGAGGGAAAAGGAGAGAAGGTGGGGGGCCAGGAGCGGCGGACCCTCTTAAGAACCTTCAGAACTCAACTCAACTCAACCATCCCCCTTTAACCTCACTCCATGAATCTGCCATCCCCCCAATGCTCACCCTCACACTCCAGTCAACTTCACTATCACCACCCCCTCACCTTCTGCACTTCTCTCCCCCCCCCCCCCCCTTCTCTACGGCGACAATCCCTGCAGTAAGAGAGAGGGGAGGGACGGGCTGCAGGCAGCTCACACACGCCACCCACACATCTCCCCCTCCTCCCTCCCCACGACGGAAGCAGCGGAAGGGAGGGCGGGCGGGGGGGGGGGGGGGGGGGGGGGGGGGGGGCGGGGCGGCGGTAGCTGCTGCTGGCGCTGGCGGTGGCGCTGGCTGGTGCGCAGGCGCGAGCGGCTGGCCGCGGTGGTGGCGTCCGCGCTGACGGGCCACGCTCGCGCTGGCGCCTGCGGTCCGGGCTGGCGCGGGCGCTGGCGTCCATGCTGGTGCTGGCGCCCGCCGGCGCTGGCGTCCGCGGCGACGAAACGGGGGGCCCCGGCGCGTCGAAACGGGTGGCCGCGGGGCGACGAAACGGGGGGGGGCCGCGGGGCGACGAAACGGGGGGCCGCGGGGCGACGAATCGGGGGCCGCGGGGCGACGAAATGGGGGGCCGCGGGGCGACGAATCAGGGGCCGCGGGGCGACAAAACAGACGGGCGCAGGGCGCGATGAGCAGGGCACTACGAGCGCGACGAGCAAGGCGTAATGGGAGCGAACGGGAAGACAAAACGGGCACGGAGCGACGGATCTCGCCATTGCGCAGCTCGCCACCGTGTCGATCAGCAGCGACTCGAGGCGCCGCCATAACGAGCATAAAACTAGGCCTAGGAACGGCCTGCTCTGATTACCATGTTAGAATAGTAGCCTTTGTCAAACATATGTTATATTGTTTATATCTAGGCTGTAGTGGGTTAGATACTAGAGGGTATAGGGTTGTTTCTTGTACCTCTCGAACTTCTCCTAGTGCAACTTTTCTCTCGACTTCCACATGGTATAGAGCTTAGGTTCCTACCACGGGCCCACCTTTTCTAGACTTTTTTTTTACCTGCCCGAGGCGCGCTTTGCGCCCTGCCCGAAAATTTCGCGGCCTCTTAGAGGCCTGCCCCGTTAAGGAGCGTCGCGGCCCCCTCTAAGGCCCGTTCGCGGCCCCTTAATCCCCCTTCGCGGCGCTTCGTGTTCTCCCCTTCGCGACGCCACGCGACCCTTTCGCGGCCCCTTGAGGCCCTTACGCGTCGCGTCGCGGCCCCTACGCCGCCCTTCGCGGCCCCTTCGCCGCCCTTCGCGGCCCCTACGCGGCTCATTGGGGTCCCTTCGTGGCCCCGTCGCGGCTCCCTCACGGCCCCTTCGCGGCTCTTCCGCCGCGCTTCACGGCCCTGTCGCGGCCTCCTCCGCAGCTCGTCGTCACCAGCTGCCGCCGCCCTGCCACCTTGCCGCCGCCTCGGCAGCACCTGCCGCCGCACCTGCAGCTACTGTCTCTCGCGCCTCGGACGTCGCCGCTCCTGCCGTGACGACCGCCGCCACTGCTGCTGTGCCAGCCGCCGCTGCTCTTGCCGTGACACCTGCCGCTGCTGCACCTACGACAGCAGCCGCCGCCGTTGTTGTGTCAGCCGCCGCCGCTCCTGCCGTCCCAGCTATCGCTGCTACTGCTGTGACAGCCGCTGCCGCTGCTGCAGAGACAGCCGCCGCCGCCGCTGTTCGTCGGAGCCACCGCCGCCGTCCCGGCCCTGTTCTGCCGCCCTTTCGCGGCCCTGACCTTGCTCGAGCGCCTCGGCCCTGCCCCACCACCTTTGGCCTTCTCTAGCCCGCCCCTGGTAAGCGCATCGCCGAGTCGCGCCTCAAACTGCTACTACCTCACCTTGCTTGCTTTCTCTGCTGCTGCTAGCCTGCGTCGCCTGCTGCCATGGCTAGCCCTGCTGTGCTTACCTTCGATGCTGAGGGGCGAGCGATAGATTTTGAGGTCTGGCTTGACGACTTGCAGCTGTTCCTGCAGTGTGATAGCAAAGACGATGTCTCGCTGCATGACCTCACGTCTGGTGCTTCCCCCCAGCCTGCTACTGATGCTGATGCTACTGTGCGCTCTCGCTGGAACACTCGCGATGCTGCTGCCCGCCTTGCTGTGCGTAGTCACCTGCCGTCTGCTGAGCGTGCGCACTTCACTCAGTTTAAGACCGCTAAGACCCTGTTCGATGCTGTCGTTGCACGCTACTCCTCCCCTGCCTCTGCTGCCCTTAGCCGCATCATGCTGCCCTACCTTTTCCCTGACCTCGCTGCCTTTGCTACAGTTGCTGACCTCATTACGCACCTCCGCACTAGTGACACTCGCTACCGCGCTGCGCTTCCTGCTGAGTTCTGCGCCAAGAACCCCCCCCCCCATGTACATCACCCTCTACTACCTAGTCACCCGTCTTCCTGACTCCCTTCGCTCAGTCAGGGACCACTTCCTAGCTCTCTGCCCCACCACACTCACCGTTGACCTCCTCGAGAAGGAGCTCCTTGCAGCCGAGCAGAGTATAGCCGCTGTCGGAGCCTCTCGCGGTGACCCTCGTACCCCTATCTTTGAGGGGTGCTCCCCTGTTCCCCTTTTGCCCTCTGTTGCCTCTGCTGCTGCTGTCGACCTCCTTGGCACTGAGTCGGTCGGAGCTGCGTCTGCCCCTGGCGGGAGGCGCCGCAACAGCAAGGGCAAGGGGGGCAAGGGTGCTGGAGGAGCTGGCGGGGGTGGTGGTGGTGGCGGTGGGGGCGGCCGGGGGGGTGGGGGTGGAGGTGGGAGTGGGGGCGGGGGTGGGGGCTCTGGTGGCGGCGGTGGAGGCGGGGACAGTGGCAGCGGCGGCGGTGGGACTGGAGGAGGTGGAGGTGGCGGCGGAGGCAGTGGAGGCGGCAGTGGCGGGGGTGGCGGTGGTACTGGTCGGGGTGGCTCGGTGCAGAGGGGAGGCTCCGGTGGTGGACAGCGTCCGCAGCAGCAGCGCTCTCGTGAGGCCCCGCCGCCGCAGCAGCTTCACCAGTGGTACGCTGGGCGTCAGCGGCCTGGGGGTGCTGGTCCCTGTACGTACTTCTTTCGTACTGGTGACCGCACTGGAGAGCAGTGTGGAGGCGCGCACACCACTCAGCGCTGCTTCGGTCGCCTGACAGACGCCTGGCGTCTTAGGTTCCCTGAAGCCACTGAGCTCCCTCGCTGGCATGAGCTGCTTAGGTCGGGCGTTGCTATCTTTGATCTTGACTATGATGCTATCATTGCTGCCATGTATGTTATGTCTACTAGTGATGACGGTGACTGTTACCTGGATGTTCCGCCCGACCCGGGCGGTGCAGCTTTTGCTCCAGGTGCTAGTGAGTCTGCTGCTCCAGGTGCTAGTGAGTCTGCTGCTCCAGGTGCTGGTGAGTCTGCTCTCTCAGGTACCACGTCGGCTCAGGCGTCGCACACTTTCACCCTTGACTCGGGTGCTTCCCGCTCCTTCTTTCGAGACCGCACCACTCTTACGCCGCTCAACCGGCCGGTTGCGGTCTCCCTGGCAGACCCCTCTGGGGGTCCTGTCCTTGCTCACTACTCCACTGTCCTGCCGTGTCCAGCTGTCCCGTCTGGCTCCTTGTCCGGTCTTTACCTCCCCTCGTTCTCTACGAACTTGGTGGCGGGTGCTGACCTACAGGATGGGGGAGTTGACCAGTTCACTCCTGCGCGTCAGCGGGTGACCCACTGCACGTGTGCTGACACGGGCCGACACTTGGCCACGTTTACTCGTCGGCCGGGGTCGAGCCTGTACACACTGACTACCGAGTCTCCGCCGGTTGCTGTTCCTGGTCAGGTAGCTGCGTCGGGTCAGGTGTTTGCTGCAGCGTCTCGGTCTGGTCCTGAGTCTGCCCCCTGCTCGTGTCGCCTCCTGTCCCATGAGACTCTTCTCTGGCACCACCGTCTTGGTCACCCCTCCCTGCCTCGTCTCCGAGGCATGGCCTCTCGTGTCCTTGTCTCTGGTCTCCCCCGGTCTCTCCCTCCCCTCCCTCCGGGGCCTGCCCCTACCTGCGTTCCCTGCGTCGAGGGGCGGCAGCGCGCCGCTCCTCACTCCTCCGAGTTTCCGCCGACAGAGGCTCCGCTGCAGACTCTTCACATGGACGTGTGGGGCCCAGCCCACGTCCGTGGACAGGGTCACGAGCGCTACTTCCTGCTGGTGGTTGACGATTACTCGCGTTACACCACAGTCTTCCCCTTGCGCCGCAAGGATGAGGTCACTGAGGTGTTGATCGACTGGATCCGCGCTGCTCGTCTCCAGCTCAGGCAGAGTTTCCGCTCTGACTTTCCTGTTTTGCGTCTGCACTCCGACAGAGGTGGGGAGTTTTCCTCAGGCCCTCTGCGAGCCTACTGTCGTGCGAGGGGCATCCGCCAGACGTTCACGCTTCCGGCCTCTCCGCAGCAAAATGGGATTGCTGAGCGCCGCATTGGCATGGTCATGGATGTCGCTCGCACGTCCATGATCCATGCGGCTGCTCCCCATTTTCTGTGGCCGTTTGCGGTTCAGTACGCGGCGCGTCAGATCAACCTTCAGCCCCGGGTCTCCATGCCGGGGACCTCCCCCACTCTGCTGTGGACGGGGAAGGTTGGCGATGCGTCTGCGTTCCGTGTCTGGGGATCTCGGGCTTTTGTCCGAGACTTGTCTGCGGACAAGATGTCCTCCCGTGCTGTTCCCTGCGTCTTCCTTGGCTTCCCCCCTGACGCGCCTGGCTGGCAGTTCTACCACCCCACCTCGCGCCGTGTTCTGTCCTCCCAGGACGTCACGTTTGACGAGTCGGTTCCGTACTACCGTCTCTTCCCCTACCGCGCTGCCCCCCTGCCACCCCCACCACTTTTCCTCGTGCCAGGTCCCCCCCAGGTCGACCCCCTCCCCCCTCAAGGTCCTGCTCCTTCAGGTGTGTCTCAGGTAGACCCCCCCCCCCTTGGCTGAGCCTTTGGAGGTCACTTCCGACACCTCTGGCCCACCCGAGGGGGGTGACGTTGCTGCTGACGCCCCGACGGCCTCCCGCCGCGCTCCCCGCTTGGAGACCCCTCCGGGGTTCCCTCCACGACCTTCCTCACCGCCTCCGTCGCCGGTTCCTGTTGACTCTGGAGCTGTTGTGGGCGGTGCTCCTGGGGGCGCTGGGTCTGGGGGTGCTGAGTCTGGGGGTGCTGAGCCTGCGTGTGAGGAGACTGGAGGCCTTGCGCCTGGGGGTGCTGAGTCTGGGGGTGCTGCGTCTGGGGGAGCTGAGCCTGTGTCTGCGGAGTCTGGGGGTACTGAGTCTCGCGGGGAGCCACTTGAGGGTTCTGAGACTGCTGCTGTGCGGTCCCCTTGGCGTGGCCGCCTTCGTTCGCGTGTGCCTCTCACTCCACAGCAGCTGCACGACTGGTACGGTCGCCGTCCGGGTCGAGCTGCTGGAGCTCGGGGCTCTGCTGCTGGAGGCTCTGGTTCCGGAGGTGCTCGTACTGAGGGTACTGGAGCTGCTGGGACTACTACGTCTGGGGGTGCCCCTGCTTGGGACACCGGGGCTGGAGACCCTGGGGCGGGAGGTGCCGGCTCTGGGGGTGCTACTGCGGGCGGTTCTGCGGTTGGCGACCCTGCGTCTGGAGGTGCCGGTTCTGGGGGTGCTCCTCCTGGGGACACTGGAGCTTCTGGAGGTGCTGGAGCTGCTGGAGACACTGGAGCTGCTGGAGGTACTGGAGCTGCTGGAGACACTGGAGCTGCTGGAGGTGCTGGAGCTACTGGAGGTGCTGGAGCTGCTGGAGACGCTGGAGCTGCTAGAGGTGCTGGCGCTGCTGGAGACGCTGGTGCTGCTGGAGCTGCTGGAGGTGCTGGAGCTGCTGGAGGTGCTGGAGCGACCGGTGCTGACGCAGCCGCGCCGCCTCGCCTGTTCTTCGCTCCACCGTCTCCGTCGTCTCTACCGCCGCCTGACTCTGTTCTCCGTCAGGTTCTTACTCTCCCGTCGTCCACGGGTCTTCCGTTACCTGCTGGCTCACCACTCCCTGCTCCTTCCCCTTACACTGAGCAGGCTGGTGGTCTTGCTGAGCGTCGTGCGCCTGCGTCGCGTCCTGTCTCGCCCGTTCGGTCTGGTCGTCCCAGTCGTACCGGTCGTTGTGTTTCTTGTACGCGTCAGCCGCCTGTACCTAGCGCGCACCTTGTTGTCCGTCGTCCCTCCTTTGCTCCGCCGTCCGCTCCTCTGCCTTCCCCACCTGCGTCCTCACTGCCTGCGGTTCCCGACCCAGCGTCTGACCGGTTTCGTGCTGAGCACCCTACTGTCACGCGTCTGTTAGCTACTGTTGTCACTGACCCGTCGTTCGAGTCCACTGCTGCGTCTGCCTTGGTTGCTGAGCTTGTTGACTTTGCTGCTGTCTGTCGTCTCGACTACGCCACTAGTCTTGTTGCTGCGTCTGAGTCTGTCTGTCCTCCGTCCGTCGGGGGTGAGTGTGCTCTTGGCACGGACGTCCTTGAGGACAGACAAGAGGAGTTCCAGTGTCTTGCTGCTGCTGTACCCCATCTCGTGGCCATGCTGCTTGCCCCTGAGGGAGACCCGGATGCACTTGACATCCCGACTCCGCGCTCTTACGCGGAGGCGATAGAGGGTCCCTACTCCTCTCAGTGGCAGGCAGCCATGGACGCAGAGATGGCTTCCTGGAAGTCCACAGGCACCTATGTTGACGAGGTTCCCCCTCCTGGGGCGAACATCGTCAGTGGCATGTGGATTTACAGGGTGAAGCGGCCACCGGGTTCTCCTCCTGTCTTCAAGGCGCGTTACGTGGCTCGCGGCTTCAGTCAGCGGCAGGGAGTTGACTACTTTCATACCTTCTCTCCCACCCCGAAGATGACCACTCTTCGGGTGCTACTGCACATAGCTGCTCACCGTGACTACGAGCTTCACTCTCTTGACTTCAGCACAGCTTTCCTACAGGGCAGCCTGCACGAGGAGATCTGGCTGCGCCGCCCACCTGGCTTCACTGGGACGTTTCCTCCTGGCACCCAGTGGAGCCTCCGGCGGCCGGTCTACGGTCTCCGCCAGGCGCCGCGTGAGTGGCACGACACACTGAGGACTACACTTGCGGCTCTTGGGTTTGCTCCTTCTACTGCCGACCCGTCGCTATTTCTGCGCACTGACACCTCTTTGCCGCCGTTCTACATCCTCGTGTACGTCGACGACTTGGTCTTTGCTACAGCTGACACTGCTGGACTCGCCCACGTGAAGTCCGAGCTGCAGAAGCGACACACGTGCACAGACCTGGGTGAACTGCGCAGCTACATTGGCTTGCAGATCACCCGGGACAGAGCACGACGCACCATTACACTGTCTCAGTCACACATGGTGCAGCAGGTCCTTCAGCGTTTCGACTTCACGTACTCCTCGCCTCAGGCCACTCCTCTGTCTACTCGTCACTCGCTCTCAGCTCTGCCTTCGGATGAGTCCGTAGAGCCGAGTGGCCCGTACCCAGAGCTTGTTGGCTGCCTCATGTACCTGATGACATGCACACGACCTGACCTTGCATACCCTCTTAGCATCCTGGCACGCTATGTTGCTCCTGGGAGACACCGACCAGAGCACATGGCTGCAGCGAAGAGGGTGTTGCGCTACTTGTGCAGTACGTCAGGCATGGGGCTAGTGCTTGGAGGGCAGAGTCCAGTGGTCCTCACTGGTCACGCAGACGCTTCTTGGGTTGACGACCTGGCTACTCAGCGGTCGTCACAGGGTTACACTTTCAGCCTTGGTTCCGGCTCTGTTTCGTGGCGGTCTACCCGCTCGTCGTCTGTTCTCAGCTCTAGCTGTGAGGCTGAGATCTACGCGGGAGCCATGGCTGCACAGGAGTTACGCTGGCTTACCTACCTGCTGACTGACCTGGGAGAGCCGCCTCGTTCTCCTCCAGTTCTGTACGTAGACAACAAGGCAATGCTGGCCTTGTGTCGGGAGCACAGACTGGAGCACAGAACGAAGCACATTGCTCTCCGCTACTTTCTTGCACGTGAGTTGCAGCAGCGTGGTCAGCTGCGCCTTGCTTACGTGGCCACTCGGGCCAACACTGCTGATATCTTCACCAAGGCACTTCCGCCTGGTGATCATCAGCGCTTCTGTACGATGCTAGGTCTTGTGCCCACTTGGCCTCACTTGCTCACTTCTTGACCTTGCTTGTACTGCATTTTCTATATACATGCTCTTGCTTGTTTGTCTTTATATATAATCATGCATGTGAACTGGCCTTGTGGCCTTGACCTTGTACTCAGATTTGTGGTGACGTTGTGATCCACTCTGAGCTTGCTTGCTTGACTGGTCTTGTGGCCTCTAGGTCTTCCCCACTTTGCCTATGGGGGTGTGTCAAACATATGTTATATTGTTTATATCTAGGCTGTAGTGGGTTAGATACTAGAGGGTATAGGGTTGTTTCTTGTACCTCTCGAACTTCTCCTAGTGCAACTTTTCTCTCGACTTCCACAGCCTTAGGGTTTGAGGTAGCGTGAGCGAGAGAAGCAGGAAGGGGGGGTTCACTACAGCAAGGTTACAAGATATAGCAAAAGAAAGGTGAACACATTGGTGCACCACCACTGTAGCTACACTAGAACACACAGCAAGCAGGGTATATAACAAAACTTAACAGGCTCCCACACACCCACCCCCCTCAGCGGCAGCTGCAGCAGTGGGAGACGGAGGAGGAGGAGGAGCCGCAGGTTACCCACACCGGTCACCCCCATGCCCGCCACCCCCAAACCCTAACGCAGGCAGGAGCGCGGGAAACAGCAGGGGCGGGGCACGGAGGGAAAGGGAGGCAGCGGGGTGGCTCTTGGGCGCCACGAAGAAGCAGGGCGCGGGCCCCCCGAGGGCGCCACGGCGGGTGACGGGAGGGGGGCCGCGCACGGGCCCCCGAGGGCGGCTCGACGGGCGACGGGAGGGGCCGCGCGCGGGCCCCCTAGGCGCCGCGACGAGGCGACGGGAGGGGGCGGCGCGCGGGCCCCCAAGGTGCCGCGACGAGGCGACGGGAGGGGGGGGACGCGCGGGCCCCCAGGGCGCCGCGACGAGGCGACGGGAGGAGGACGACGGGGGGCAGCGCGCAGGTCCCCGGGGGCGCCACGACGGGCAGGAAACCGCCGCGCGCCTCGGGGCGCACGGCGGGCAGAAAACCGCCGTACGCCCTGAGCGCACGGCAGGAAGAAGACGGCGCGCGCCCGAGGCGTGCGAGAAGCAGAATAGCAGCGGAAGCAGTTAGGTGGCGGGCCCACCCACAGGATCGACCCAAGGGGGTCGACCTGCTCTGATAGCATGTCAAAAAGAACTAGGCAAGAATGATTGAAAGGAGAGGGGTTTCACTAGCAGCAGTTGGGGTACATATAGCAAACCCTAACTAGGTTGTACTCGCTATAGAGCACCCCACTACAGGCTAGACAATAATAACATTCTGACAAATTCGCCACTGACGCGTCAGGAGCAATCGTCGCTAACGTCCTGGCGAAGTCTTCCCTGGCCCACCTGGCGAAATTGCCACAGGCGCGCACGTGTTAGCAACATTTCAGCACGTCATGGTAGTAGGAATTTTCGCCAGGGTGGCAGATTCTCGGTGAATTTCGAAGCAAACTGTTTTGTGGTAGTTTCGATTGAAACCGCAAGGCTGAGATCTACATTTCTGTGTTTAAAAATCACAATTCTCTAACTGTCATTTATTTCCCCCATGGGGTAAAAAAAAAAAGCCACATTATAAGCCCACCCACCATTTTCCTGAGTTTTATTACACCCCCATATGGGGGTATATCCGGGGCATGACGGTACCAGCAAGGTCTGCCAGCACCGCTGCCCTGCATACGGATGCTAGCTAATACGGAGTCTTCCCAACCATGTTGCCCTGCGGCGAGTAGTCGCAAACCCACATGCCACCTCCATCCGCACACTTGGCAGCAGCACACCCAACACTCTTGGTACCCCGCCACACCACCTGCGTGTAGTGCCCACACATCTTGCCGCCCGCACACCCCTTGGGCACAGCACTGTACCTCCAGTCCGCCTTCTCCGCCACCCACGACCGCACCGCCGCCCGATCCTCGTCACTGTTCAGCTTGGCAGGGCGCATCCAGTACAGGTTCTGGCCAAGCCCCTTTGCCCCTCCGTGCTTCATTTTGCATCCCTTGGAGGCGAGCTCATCTGCCCACTGCTTCGCTGCTGCTGCCACTTTGTCGTCCCATGAGAGGTCCGCCACTCCCACTGCCCGCCGCGCCTTGTTGTGCTCCTCCACAATTGCCGCCTTGTCCATTCCACTGCTGCCGCCACTGCTGCTGCGGCCGCCACCGGTGGTGCGGTCACGACGGTAGTGCCGCAGCTGCCTCGCTACCACGGGTGCTCCCTTGACCTGCCTGGGATTGGATGTACGCAGCAGCAGCAGACCGCGAGGCGAAGTTGCGCGCTGTGAGTGACTGGTAGTGCTGGCGGCTGTTACGTCAGCAGCAAGCGAGGCTTCAGTGGGTGTGACGTCAGCGAGAGCTGGCACAGCGAGTGCAAAAGTGAGCATTGCGAATACTGGAGAAGGGGGTGGAATATGGATGGGAGGAAAGGGAAGGACAAGCGAGGGGATCATGAGGAGAGAATATGAGAGAAGAAAAGGAGGAAAAAGAATGGGAATCGGAAGAAATGGAAGCGAACAGCGTGGAAAGAACAGGAGAGGGAATAAAAGAAGCAGGAAGAAGGGGATAGGGAGCAACAGGAGAGAACAAAACCGAAGGTGGACGAACAGGAAAGAACAGGAGGGGAGAGGAGAGGAGAGGGAAGAGCAGGAGAGGAGAGGAAAGAGCAGGAGAGAAAGGAAAGAGCAGGAAGAAAAGAAAAGAGCAGGATGAGAGGGAAGCACAGAATTGGAGAGGGAAGAGCAGGAAAGGAACGGAGAGGGAGGTAAGTAAAGGAGAGCATAGGGAAGCAGATTGGAAAACAAGAGAGGGAAGCAGAGGAAAGGACAGAGACGGAAAACCCATCCATCCTATTTAAAGCACTCAGCCCACTCCAACAGCATCAAATTCGAGCACTCAATAACGAGTCTGACAACTCAACGAACGCCGATTGGACAACAAGAGAGGGAAGCAGAGGAAAGGAAAGGATTCGAGCACTCAATAACGAGTCTGACAACTCACCGAACGCAGAGCAGAGGAGATTCAGCATTCTGTCGAAAGCCATTGCCAAATGACCGAGACTGGGCGAGGTCGGAAGTAGAACGAAAGCGCGAGACTATTGAAAATCCCTGCGGATTTTCGAAATCAGGATGGTATAAGTGCGCTACTGGCGCTGAACTGAAGTATGATCAGGTAAGGCAGGAGTAACCAGCGCGAACGGACTGCTGATGAGAGGTGATTTGAGTATGGCTGATGCGGCTCCATTTTATACTTCAGTAACGCGAGCTGTCTCGTCAGAGGAAAGGCCGCGGCCCGAGGCGGCGTGGATCGCGCGAGTGCAGTTCGACGGAGTCGGGACTGCGTACAGTGCTCCTCAGACGACTCGATAATTTCGCGGGCTTTTGGAAGGAAATGCGAAACGAATTCCTGCCGAATCTGTACAAGCGATGATTACATCGACGCCTGACGCGTGAAGGACGGCACGAAATGGCGTAAAGAGACGGCTTTCGACCTCTAGTGTGCTAATAATTTCGGGACTTCCGTTGTACGCGTTGGAGGCAGATCAAGTGCTCAATTTAGTCGTTACAGTCTTAATAGGCATAATCTCGTGGTTTCGTGGTGTAGTTGGTTATCACGTCAGTCTAACACACTGAAGGTCTCCGGTTCAAGTCCGGGCGAAGCCATGGCCTTTTTTGTTACTCGGGCCTTGAGTTTCTCTTTGGCTCAAGGAAGGTTGTTTACTCACTGCACACATTTAAGTTGGTTGGAATGTGAAAGCCACCCAGACAAAACTGCTTGGAAGTGTTTACTATGCACAACCTACCGTAATCAGCATACTGACCACACTCCCAGAAAGCTGTTGTTCACAACAGCCCACTTCCACATTGTCCGCTAATTTCAGGAGCGCATAGGGAGACTTGAGCAAGGAGTAAGCTCATTCAACTTATATCCTGAATTACACCGGCTCAATCACTCCTGCATGTGCATTTTTCAGACTTGGCCTGGTCCAAGCCGCCCCTGCTTGAACCCTTCACTGCCCTCGGTCCTGTTCAGTTGAACCCTTTTCCAACCTTGGCCTGGTTCAAGCCGCCCCTGCTTGAACTGCTGCCTCGCCCTTCTCAGCGTCGCCTTGTTGCAGGTCCCAGGAGGAAGCACACGGCACTCGGTAGCGCCTCAGGATCTGAGCGCTGGCCTGGAGGGGAAGATTAAGCAGCGGGAGAGAGCAATGGAGAGTGTAAGGTGCACACGGAGGAAGAAGAGGTCAGGGTGCGAGCAGGACGCACGCGACACGCGGTAGCGCCTCAGGATCTGAGCGCTGGCCTGCAGGGGAAAGCGGGCGCAGCGGAAGAGAGTGATGGGAGAGTGTAAGGTGCACAAGCAGAGGAGGAAGAGGTGAGAGAACGAGCAGGACGCGCAGTGCACCAGGTAGCGCCTGAGGATCTGAGCGCAGGCCTGGAGAGGGGTGAGCACGCAGCGGAAGGAAGAGGTGAGAGAGGGAGAGGGACGCACACGGCACGCGGGAGCGCCTGAGGATCTGCACGCTGGCCTGGAGGGGAAGAATATGCAGATGAAGAGAGCGATTGGGGAAGGGCGATGGGAGAGTGTAGGGCACGATGCACATGTTGAGGAAGAGTGATGGGAGTGCAGAGAGGGGGAGGGACCAGCCAAGGAGGGGAGTGGGAAGAGAGCGGACGAAGGTGAGGCGCGCTGCAGCACAAGTGCAGGATTTGAGTGACTTGCCAATGCCACTGCAGGATTTGAGTGGCTTCCCAATGCCATTGTCAGGTCGCACACAGAAAACAGCGTTTCAAGAGCTTCATCTAGATTTATCAGGAAAGATTTGACCAAAAAGGAGACAAACTGGCTGTCGCCTTGAAGCAATTCCCGAAGCTTTCAACTAGATTTCCTGACTGACGAGCTCAGAGCTGTTCAGCTCATCCTTTCTGGGGGAGCTCATCCTTTCTGGGGGAGCTCTTACCTTCTAGAGGGTTTTTGAGACGTCTCAAAAGCTGGCTCTCGCCTTAAAAGCAAGCCACCCCCTGTCCTCTGACTGACGAGCTCAGAGCTGTTCAGCTCATACCACGTAAGGGTGTTTTTGAGAATTCTCAAAAACACCCTTCAGTCCTCTGACTGACGAGCTCAGAGCTGTTCAGCTGATACGTATTGGGGGGGCTCTTATCTTGTTGAGGGCTTGATGCTGCTTGGGTAGCCCTCACCAGGGGGTGTTCTTCACTAATGGCGTCCTCTTACCTTGTTGCCAGCTCACCTTCTTGGCAGCAGCGACGCTGACAGCAATCACGCGGTCGTCGTCCAAATCAAATCTGACGAAGCCGTCCGTGCACTGTAGCACTTCGTCCCGTAGCTGCCTCAGGTTGGCCACCTCCTTGCCGTTGACTCGCTTGACCTTGAGGGGCACAACACAGGGTGGTTGGGAGGGACCCACATGCAGGGGGAAACACCCTTGAGGATCCTAAATAAAAAACACCCTTGAGGATCCTAAATAAAAAACAAGGCCCAAGCTTTCCATGTCTTTGCTGTTGACTCGTTTGACCTGGAGGGAACAGAGGGCGGTTGACCCGCTTGCATGACACCCAGGGGAACAAGAGCAGATGTTGATTCGCTTGACCTGGAGAAAAATCAAGACGCGGCTGCGACCAGAGTAAAGGAGAAACAAGGGATGGTGGGACAGAACCTCTGTGGACGGGAATAAGGGCGATACGAGCATGAGTGCAGCAGCAGCGTCTTATGAACGGACTGGTAGGTAGGGATGCGAGAGAGGAAACAAATGAGGCACACACAAAAGCACATTCAGATGCAGACTTACAGATGAATATGTCTTCTGCACCTCTCAAAGCCGACATTGACCTCGTCTACAACATGCTCCCTGCTCTCATCTGTCAACACTCGCCGCCCGTCCTTAGAATCAGACCCATCACCTTGCACAGTGCACCCCCCTCACCCTGCACAAGGATGTCCCTCACCTGCAGTTCTGCCAACCGTTCAAAACCGGAGTTCACCTCATCTGCCAGCACCTGCCGTGGTGAGGGCAGGGGGAATGAGAATGAGATAGAGAACAGGAGATGGGGGAACAAGTTGCAATGTGAAGGGAAAGAGTGGCGGTTGAGTGGCAAGGGGACCAAGACACGAGCTCACTTCATCTGCCACCATCTGCCGAGGCGGGGGTGCAGGCGCAGGGCCGGAGAACGAGACAAGAGTGGCGGGTTTGTGGGGAAAAGAGACAAGAGAAGAATAACGGCTGAGTGGAAACGAGAATAACGAATAACGGGTGTGAAGAATAACGAGATAGGACACTTCACCAAGCCCGTCCCTCCCACTCACCCGTGACAGGATCACAATCTGCTGGCCGGGCTTGGAGGGAATGTCCCTCAGCGCGCGCTCACATGCACACGCACACACACGCACACACACGCACACACACGCACACACACGCACACACACGCACACACACGCACACACACGCACACACACGCACACACACGCACACACACGCACACACACGCACACACACGCACACACACGCACACACACGCACACACACGCACACACACGCACACACACACACACGCACACACACGCACACACACGCACACACACACACACACACGCACACACACGCACACACACGCACACACACGCACACACACGCACACACACGCACACACACGCACACACACGCACACACACGCACACACACGCACACACACGCACACACACGCACACACACGCACACATACACACGCACACACACGTACACACACGTACACACACGTACATACACGGTACACCCACCCTCCCATTCTATCCCTGCCCCCATCCCCACTCCCCTTCCCCCCTCCCCCCCCCTCCCACTCACCCGGGACAGAATCACGATCTGCTGGCTGGGCTTGGAGGGAATGTCCCTCAGCGCGCGCTCGCACAGGCGGCGGGGGCTGCTGTTGAACCAGTCAGGGCCGTACTCGTGCAGGTAGGGCTGGGTGAGTGGCACGAAGACGAGACCCGCGAATATGAAGTAGGAGGGGGAGATGTCGAATTGTTGTGCTGGCACCAGTGCTGGGATCTGGTGGGGGAAGGAGGGGAAAAGGGGGGGGAGAAGAGAGGAAGGGGGGGGAAGTGGTGGGAAGAGGGGGGAAGAGGGGAAAAAAGGGGGGATGGGGGGGAAGCGGGGGAAGGGAGGGAAGAAGCACGACTTGGGGCCGTACTCGTGCAGGTAGGGCTGGGTGAGCGGCACAAAGACCAGGCCGTACGGCTGGGTGAGCGGCACGCACTGGCGCACTAGCACTGCCGTACGGGATATAGCTGGATGTCAAAGTCCATGCGCTGCCCGTGCCGCAGGACCGACACTCTAGCGGTCTTAGCAGCGGGGAGGGGCACTCACAGTGGGGAGGGG